GGTAGTAGCTGAATAGCTCGGCGTTGACCGTGGAAAAAAAAAATTTGAAAAATGTTGAAAAGAAATATTGAAAAAAAATCGATCTTTTTAGCCTAGGACACCCCCTGCCACCAAGGAGTGTCCACACAAAATTTTAGCCCATTCGATTCAGCTGTTTGGCCGGCTATACACAACATATATATGAATGTCTTGTTTTATTATATAGACAAATTATTATTTAAGAATACAAACACTCTAGTATGCCGAGTCCATTAGCGCCTGATTCAATCAGGGTTCAGTCATGTGTTTGTTGTCTATTCTAAACCAATAGAAATTGCATGGCGGTAACATCTTTCTTTCTATCTAGCTCATTACCCAATTAGAGATAAATCCTCATATCGGCGCTATAACAGTAAATTATTTACTTCTACTGAAACTATAGTGCAAAGGAACTGATTGTTAAAAAAACGTAAACAAGGTCGTTCATCTTCAACTGCAAGACCACTCTTAATTCTTATGTTTATTTGGACTTTAAATTTTTGTTTTCAATTGTAAAGGTATCAATTGTATCTTCAACATAATCGTACAGTTAATATACGCTTTTTTATAAATATCAAAACATCAAATCCTCCAAATTGAAACTGACAGAAATGTCGTCTTCGATCAAGTAAAAATTTGTATGCAGAAGTAGAATAATAATTACATTTTCAGAACCTAAAGTCTTCAGTTCAGGAAGAATAAAGGAACCATAACTTTCATCTTGGAACTTTTTAAGTAAACATTGTTCTCATTGGGAAAATGGAAAATTAGAAAAATGTTTAAAAATCAAGTTTCATATTCTTAGGGGAAAATAATATTTCCCATGATTTTTAGTATCCACGGCCACCCCTACCTATAATATTGGCGCTATTTCTCTAGCAACAGGGAAATTTGAATATACATCTTTCTGGAATTTATTCATTTCTTTAATTAACAGACTTTTCAGAAAAAGAATTACTCATCTGAAAACATACTTTTTCAATGTTCTATTCCATACATACCTCAGCAACCTGATCTATATTTTTATGCTTAGACTATTTGATCTAATATAATTCATAGTTTGAAATATCAAAGGACTAGATAAAAATTAAAATTACTAGAAAATCAGAGTTTGTGGCACAAACTCAGTTCCTTTTATACTTTAGCAAAGTTCTCTACAGAGAGATGAAAAAACTCTCGCCTTTTTTATTAATCCTGCACAATATGTATTTATCTTGATTAATAATTAAAGGTTGAATAGCACTGCAAACCAAAATATGTGAAAGCTCTCACACAAAAATCGACCAGGATTTTGCCAATTGCTTCTTTTCAGCTGAAGCTAACTACAATTAAATTGCAGTTTTAAAATATAGATGTCTAAATCTACTTCATAGAAGTAAAACCAAAACTCAATGCGGTGCAACACTTCAAAGTGGACTCGGCCTGCAAATCTGATGCAAAACTTTCATATAGTTAAGTCTAAAACATATATCTATGCATATGAAGTTGTAATTTCTGTTTTTCTGACTGGGTGTTTGTTTGTACGATCATAACTCTGGAACTCCTGGACTGATTTGCCTCAAATTTTGATTGGGGAACTCCTGAGACCCAAGGGAATGTTCTTAGCTTGGTTTTGATATTCTAAGTTTAGTGGGTCGGCTTTAATAGCGAAAATTTAGTTTCCCGTTAAAACGTATTTGTGAGCTGGTAAACGGCGGGAGCAACTTTTAGTAAGCTTGGCAGCGCTGGGTTCCCCAGCTAGTATATTTCTATAATATAAAAAATGGTCGGCATTTTTTTGTCCAATATAACAAACACACAAAACCCCGCACTTAGAGAAACTGAATTTCAATGTTTAATATTCTGTGCATTATATTAATAACACTAAATCTATTAATTTACTGAAACGTATTCTGTATAACAAGTACACTGTCATTGTATACTTTTAAGGGACCCGCCATCAAAACATGAGCCACTGTATACTTCCGTTCATACTTTTAAGCACCTAAATAGTACAAACTGTGCAGAACAAATACAGAATGACTCATTGGCAAAACAGAACAGTACTCCATATGAATCAGCCTCTTCTATGGATATTCTAGTGGAGCATGCTCGATTTACAATGATACCCATATCACTGATAAATAAATTAGAAGATTTTTCCTAAGTATTTAATTTTAATAGTTTCCTTCAATGTTTCTGCAGTAAAAATGCACAAATCACTTATGTAGTAAAAGTACCGTTGTGAATCGAACATTCCACTCTAAATAGAATGTCACTTAAAATTATAAAGTGTACAGTCTACAGTGTTGTTTGGTTTATACGTATCTAGCTGGTCAAAAGGCTAGACCAAATTGGCTGACATTATTTAGGGAACCATGGGGAACCATGGTGGGGATGCAGGCTAAAAAAATTAAGTTTAAAACCAAGTTCGGGTAAAAATATCTAAAAAAATATATTTACTCGATCAGACATTTATCTTTTATATATGTTTTTTAATGAAAATACATTGATAAGGCAACTGCTTTAATATTAAATTTGATGCTTAACCTTGTGTTTGAATGGCAAATGATTAATTATGTCGCGCAATTAAAACAAAAAATAATTGACATTAAATTTCTATACTTCATTTCATGAAAAAAAAAATCTACACTACAAACAAATAGTCGTTATTTAATTGGAATTATAGTAATTCTACATTTATAATGTAAAATGATTAAATAATAAACTCCAAACTAAAGTTTTCATTCAAATATATTTTGTAATTTGGTAACAGCTATTTATAAAAAATATGTTTCTATCACATTTTATAGAGTTAGGCACCACTTTCAGCCGTTTTTATTTGAGACATTTTAGGATTTTAGGCGACTCCACGAAAATCTACGAATTCTTACATAATTCAAGTTTTAACCCTGACAGAAATAAATTAACTGGAACGAAGCAAACTCAATCGATCGTTTGTTACCACTCTCCTCTAAAACCCACTATTTCTTCAGTCAGTGTACTGCAAATCATTGCAGTACACACCGAAAGCTTGGTCTCAGGTGTTAACGACGCAGAAAAAACGAAAAACGAAATGATTTTTTCAAAAACGATAGTTTTGTAATAACAAGTCGTTTTTTGTTTTAATTCCTTGTTTAGTTAACGAAAGTAGATCGTTTTTAATTTTTTTCGATCGTTAATGATTGTTAACGACGACCAAAAAAAATAAAGTAATTTCCCTCTATAAAAAAACCATGATGTCAGACGACATTCTTAAAGTGTTCTTACTGTTAAAGAAAAGAAAATATTACGTTCATTTCCTTCGGTAAAAAAATGTAAAAAATTTCAATTATATTAACAAATATGTTCTGAGTCACTTCTGACTGAGCCAAGATTTTGCAAATTGTAATAAAAGCAATCTAGTCTTGTATACAACTTTGAAATGTTTCATCTTCTTAAATTTCTCGTGGAGTATCCTCAAAACTTTGAAAAACTGCAAGTTCTGATGCTCAACTTTTACTTTTCGTTTAAATTAATTTTTCAGCAGTTTTTGAAATATTAATGGTCTGCTTGTGAAAAATGTGCAGGGAACTAAAACCATTTTGTTTTTTCTACTTTCTCCTTCCTCTTGAGATCTCCTGAAACAAATTAAAATAATGTAATTAAAGTTAAAAGTATGTTCTGAGATCTATTTTCTTTGTTCCATTGATTTAATTTATAAACATTCTGAAAGCTTATATTAAATCCACTTAGAACACAAAAGGATGTCCAAACAAAATCCTAACAGCCAATAATATATTGGTGATTATTGGAACGTTCTAAAAATTTAACCAAGAACATGATAGAAGTTGCATTGCAAGGAAGAAAATCCTAGAACAAGGAGCGTAGTGCAGAAGATGATGTAAAACAAGAACTATGACAGGAAGATGATGTAAAACAAGAACTATGACAGGGTGAGTGCAGAAAATGATGTAAAACAAGAAGTATGACAGGGTAAGTGCAGAAATTGATGTAAAACAAGAACTATGACAGGGTGAGTGCAGAAAATGATGTAAAACAAGAACTGTGACAGGTTAAGTGCAGAAATTTATGTAAAACAAGAACCATGACAGGGTGAGTGCAGAAAATGATGTAAAACAAGAACTATGACAGGGTGAGTGCAGAAAATGATGTAAAACAAGAACTATGACAGGGTGAGTGCAGAAGTGTGAGCACCCTGTTTAATTGCTTCGACCATCATTTATTTCACTCTATTCATGTTGTTAAACAAAAATTTAATTTGAAAAAAAACGTTTAAAATTGCAAAAACCGAGTCCAGGCTTCATGAGATGATTTTTTAAAAGTGACAGAGGGGAGACATTATTTCTACTGACGTCTCCTCGTCCAGGGTCCCCCATTTTTCAAATTGTGATATTCATAAAAATATTCTATTATTCATTTGTGGAAAGCACCTGGGCTCTAGTAATCTACCCAAAAAATAGTTTAATTGCAAAAATCCCTATATTCATTTCAAAATCCGGTTCTATAGGAAAATGTGTCAAAAATCGCGTAAAATATTTTTTGCAAAAATATTTGCAAACATTTCCGGGCCTACGAGTGTAATTAAGAAATTCAGAAAATTTGAAAGTTCACTTTAAAGGAGTTATGTTTAAAAAAACGTTAGGGAAGAGTTCTTTGAGGTTGAATATAAGTAAACGTCTAAAAATCCTTTTTATTTTGACAAATTAAGAAAAATGTCAACTTACCATCTTTCTTCTTCAAGAGATGTCTCCAAATCTACGAATTCGCCTAAATCAAAAGATACATTTAAAAATATTTTAAAAATTAAAAATATATCCAAAAGAATAGTAAACTTTTAAGACCTCATGAAAAGGACTCGAGTAAAGAATACGAAAAAATAACCAAATGATATGCATTTCACTTTAAAAATCTTGAAAACGAAAAAAATGGAAAAAAATTAAATGAATTTTTAATTCACCTGTTGAAATCCAAGCCGAAGATCCTTGTTTAAGCCTTAAGAGTAAGGTTGTGGTATGAGCTGGGTAGATGTGGAAGGTTATTGACCCCTGTACATGAGTTAATGTTTACAGTATGTACAGTATGATAAACTGATGAACTTTCCTCCAGTGTGATCAGTACTAAAACCTAAAAATATAAGTTTACATGAAAATAGTAATTTCATAACTTGAAATTATAACCCCCTGTTTCTAAGGTGAACAAGGGATGTTGCAGTTTACAAAAAAGATGATTAACATCTTAAGCTGTATCATACCTAAGTAAAGGGGTATGGTTTTGAAGTTGTAAAATTGCTCCTTTCTTTATCCCCCTAATTTACTTTAACAAATAAAAATGTAGAATGTTAAATAGGTGACAAAAATAAAATTTTTAAATTTCAAAATATAAATTTACTGCAATAGTTTTGGGAACAAAAACACCCAACGTAAAGTTTGTAACCGATAAACGCCTAAACGGCAGAATTGATAGGGCCCTAAATACAGTAGCAGCAATGAACCCAGTTTTTGACTGATCTAATGACCTCTAATGTCCTAAAATGACCTCCAAAGTGATAAGAGGTCAATAGATGGTCAAACACTGGATTCATTGCGGCTACTGTATTCCCTGGGTTCCTAGTTTTCGTTTGATGTGCATAGATAAAACATTTTCATTTTGGAGTCATTTAAGGTCATTAGAGGTCATTAGAAGGTCAAACACTGAATTCGTTGCTGCTACAGTTTTCCCTGGGTTCATAGCTTTCTTTTGATATGCATAAAGCCATATTAAAAAAAAATTCATTTTGGAAGTCATTTGAGGTCATTAGAGGGTAATATATGTCATTAGAAGGCCAAACATTGTTCTCGTTGATGCTTCTGTATTCCCTGGGTGCCAAGCTTTCGTTTAATATGCATAAAGCCATACTGGAAACATTTTTTTATTTGTTGAGGTCTTTAGAGGTAATTAGAGGTCATTAGAGATTATTAGAGGTAATTCAAATTCAATTTGATTTATTCTAGTAAATTCGAACACTTATTATGCGTGCATTAAAAAAATTGGAAGATGTGAACCAAAAATGAAGGCAGGGACCCCCTTAATCAAATAGGACATCTCCACCATCCCTTTATACCTGATCTTTTGAGATTCTAATATCTTGAGCTGCCATTTTGAAAAGTAATGCTGTACCAGTACATGACAGTAAAGCTGTACATAATACTAGGGACACTGCGGCTAGAACCAGATTTTTTCCTGTGAAACAACTTGAACTCGAAGAACTGATTCTTCTGAATTGAAATTTTGAGTTTGTTAATAATGAAATATATACATTTGTATACTTCAGAGCTTGCTTGAACAAATAATGCACTTTTTATTTTTACTTTTGTTCTTTTCAGTTTTCTCAATAAACACCTATCTTCCCGACCCCCCTTTTTCCCAAAATGGCTCATTTTGTTCGTAAAGAATAAATAAAGTTTAAGTGGAAGTGAATGAATTTTGGAAAGGAAAACAAAAATAATGTTATCATAAAATATTTGTTATACTAACCGATTGGTTTCGTTGGTTTCGTCGGTTTCGTTGGTTTCGTTGGTTTGCAAAAACTCAGATGATTCACTGTTTCTAGTCATTCCTGAAAAAAAAAGTTTAACTCAAAAAAATCTAAAATATTTTTTTACTTTTTTGGTTCCGGGGATTGAGAGGCTTGACTGTAACTTTAAATTCTTAACATAATTTGAAAGAAAAATTACGGATCAATAAACATATCTGAGAAATTAAGAATAAGAATATTGTAGCAAATCAAGATAAAAAGCCTCCATAAACACTCAAAAAATTTCATGTAACTCTTTTATTAAATTTACTCCACCGTGACATGTAAAATTTCAACATTGCATAAACAGTAGAATAAAATATGCCAGTATTTATGATATTTAGTCACTGGCAGGTATTCTTAAAGATAAGAAATGCTGATGCAAGACTTGAAAAATTTGTATTTGTTTTATTCTCGAATCCGTTTCATTGCATTCATGATTCATCGTTTTCATGACGACAAATGTACGTATTCTAGAGATTGTACACCATTTTAAGAATGCCATTAACGAATCACAAAAGTACACCATTTTTATGAAAAACACGCAGTGAAGATATCAGATATTTGACATCTTTATCTTAAAATTAGTAGAAATTGGCTATTTAAATTCAAAATTTAATCCTTTACTAATATTTCTCTTTTCAATTGCTCTTCAATACGAGTAGTTTTGTTTAAAGCATTTAAGATTTTAACATTACGTGAAAGGAATTGATTCTTTGCCGTAAACTCTGGTTTTCAAATATCTAAGTTTGAAATATTAAAGGTTCATCCGGTTGGAAAGATATAAGGATAAGGATTGGAAGACTTAAGATTGAGGCAAAGACTCAATTCCTTTCCTTCTGCCAGGAAAATGAGACGAAATTGGCATGAATAATAAAAAACAATACTTTCTGTAACAAAATGTTAGCAAATGAAAGCTTTCAGAAATTATTAAATATTAATAGCGCACTGAAAAGTTTGTGAGAAAAAAGTTCAATTTATATTGTTAACAGGGCTATTGTTATAATTTCAAATGACCAGGCTAAAATTAAAGAAGAAAATGACAAGGCTACAAATAAAGAAAAAAATGACCAGGCTACAATTAAAGAAGAAAATGACAAGGCTACAAATAAAGAAGAAAATGACCAGGCTACAAATAAAGAAGAAAAAGACCAGGCTATAACAATTAAAGAAAAAAATGACCAGGCTACAAATAAAGAAGAAAATGACAAGGCTACAACTAAAGAAAAAAAGACCAGAGATGGAATTTAAAGAATTTGAGCCGCGGTTTAAATCCGCCAAAACGCGGTTTAAATTAAGCGCCGACTTAAATCTTGAAACATTAGATACAATTTAAAGTGGAACCAACCATATTTAAACCGCGGCTTAAATTTAAACCGCCGCTCAAATTCTTTAAATTCGGCCACAGGCTACAAATATAAAAGAAGAAAATGACCGGCTACAATTAAAAAAGAAAATGACCAGGCTACAAATAAAGAAGAAAATGACCAGGATACAATTAAAATTAAAGATAAAAAAGAGAAACTAAACTTACTGATTATTGTCTTTGTTGTATCTGAAGATAGAATCATGTCAGTTAACAAAAGAATAATTCATAACATTTATCACTAGGTGGACCTGCACTTGTTGTATCAATCGCAGAGAATAATGAAATGATAGGATGAATGCAAAAGAAAGATAAAACATGAATGAACCCTGGACCCTTCTGTTCTCTAATCTATTTTATTGTAAAAAACTCCCTAAAATGGACGAATATTTTTTTCTGTTTAGCAAAATTATTATTTTCTGGACGTTAACCAAATTGTATGGTGATGTTTACTCCAGGGCCCAAAAATGCGGGATATATATAATATATCTATAGCACGAAATTCAAGAATAAAGCTTATTGCAACATTAAACAAATATGTGAGATACGAATATTGCTCAATACTTTTTCTTGGAATTTAAGATAATTAAAACAAGTTTAAACGGATTAAAAAGTTGCTCGTCTGCCTTTATTCAATGGCGACCCATGCAATTTTCTGAAGGCGGATCCTAGAAGGATCGGGGGACATGATGTTTTTATGTTTTTATTCGATTATTCGTATTACACTTACAACGGTACGCGTGGAATGATAAAACAAAACGTTTTGTTCAGATTTTTCCAGATTTTTCCATACCGCCATTTTTTCTTAAAACACAATGAAGTTTCCAAGAAAACAGTTTTAAAGAGTTCCATATAATCATTTAATTAAAAAACTAAATATCTGCAACATTCCATTATCAAAAAGTGAAGAATACGACATTTGATCAGTTCTTTCGATGTATTCGTTATTAAGGGTTTCACTGTAGTATTATTTTTTATTAATGGGGTGGGATGGGGTGGATCTTCAAATAATAGATTTATCTACAACAGAAACTTATTTTACCGTCGTTTGACCAACATTACCGATCCATGCTTCCACATAAAGAGGAGCGTTATAAGTTACTTTGGGACAATCAATTAAATAAAAGTACGAACACCTCTGTTTAGTTTTCCTGATCAAATTCGCGTATTAATAGACAAAGATCTATGATCCATGATTTAAGATCCAGTTGTACAATAATCTACAAGGCTCTGCAAAGCTCTATACAATTATCTTTTATTTATTTATCATATATGATCTTACTCTGATCTAGATGTACAAATAAGGGCCATAAGACCCCGCAAAGATCGGTTCAACTATTTTTTTGGTTTTTTATCTTAATAGATCCACTTATAGGTGTCTCTGTCACATGTAATCATTCAAAGCATTGAGAAAAGAGACATCTGGCGGTCAGCTATTTCAGCATTTTAAGATCATTGTATACAAAACGAATATTAAATATTAAGATATACGAATGCGTCGAAAAAGTAATCGATGACTATGGGTTGTAATATCTGAATGATTTGTTTGAAATTAAATTAATTTTTTTAAGATCCGAATCATATTTTGCAACTTTCTGAATTTGTATAGACGCTACGTTCTTCAGTAAAGTCGCTTTTAACAATTTTCTCCATATAAACGCAACAGATAGAAGTAAGATTAGCAGCGATCAAAAGCGATTATTTTTCGCCGTCATTACCCCCTTTGATTTTTCGCGAACACTCCCCTTAAATAAGCGTGCGTTTAATCCCTAGAAAATGGCCTTGGAGTAAAGGAAAAACAAGATTTCCCTAAATGGGACACACATTTTTTATCCATTTGTCATGGGTCTTTATAAAAAGTTCTTGATCTGTAGCTTAAAAACCAAAATGATTTGGGCTATTTATTTGCAAAAAAAATCTGTTAATTACTATTTCTTCAAAGTTAAAGAAATTTTAAGATAATAGTGTCAACAATTTGATAGAGGGCGCCAAATGCTTCCTCCAGCCTTCTTAGGGTTAAATAAGCACACATTCCCTTGCTTTTTTTTGTTAACAAAATTGTGTAAACTTACAGTCTTACTCTTCTTTCAGCATTTGTTTGGGAAGACATTGTAGAAAATATTGTTTTCTAATTAGAATTATTGCAAGCTGCATCAGTACGTAATCCATTTAAAGTGTTTAAGTTATATTCAAATGGGGCTTTATTTCATTTTAAACGAGAGTAAAATAAGCTATTTCTTAAATTTCACGAGTTCTATGAGTTCCTTGAGTTCCTTGAGTTCCGTGAGTTCCCTGAATTCCTTAAGTTCCTTGAGTTCCTTGAGTTCCTTGAGTTCCTTGAGTTTCTTGAGTTCATTGAGTTCCTTGAGTTCCTTGAGTTCCTTGAGTTCTTTGAGTTCCTTGAGTTCCTTAAGTTCCTTAAGTTCCTTGAGTTCCTTGAGTTCCTTGAGTTCCTTGAGTTCCTTGAGTTCCTTGAATTTCCATTCGGAGTAATTAGAGTAATAAAAGTATCATGAAATTCATTTTACCCATGAATTTTACTTATGCTTTTTTGTTATGTAGTTAATGTGTGTTTACAAATACTCATTTTAAGTTATAAAACACACACTCATTGCCTAGTATCCGTTTATTAATTGCGTGCACACAATTTTAAACATTGAATGTTTATGTTTATGTTCTGCTCAGAACCCGTTCTCTCCATACTAATGTTTAAACAGTGGTCGTGAAGTTAACGCACTTCACGACCATTTATCTATAGAGAGAACGGGCTCAGTGTATTGGGTTGAAATTGGTTGTGAAATACAACGTTTGTTAGTCCGTATACGCGAGTACGTGTGTGTTCATCAGTTTTTAAAAACTAGATGTTTGGCATTGTAATTTGAGAAAGTGCCCTAAATTGGGAATATAATAAATTTAATCAATCTATATTTTATCTGACTTGTCTGTTTATTTTTTGTCCAGTAAACGTCATAAAAGCTTAAACGATTGGGCCAATATTTGTCATGGCAACTCACATGGCCCCTGTGAAGGTTTATTGTCAGTCGAAATTGTACAATTTTGCTTCGAAAAATGTCGATTTTTTAAACTTATGGAATTCCATGAATGGAGTATGAAAACAGAAAAATCTGCATGTTTTCTGATGTTACCAGAAAAATGGAAACAGAAGAATGAGAATGGGACACAGAAGAATGAGAATGGGAAACAGAAGAAGGAGAATGGCAAAACTGAAAAAAGGAAAGATGGAGGTAAGATTCAAAATTTAAAAATATATTTTGTCGTTTCCATGGTTTTAGGCCAGAATATCAATTTTGAATATTAATTATATGATCATTAACCTTAAATTAATCCAACCCGGTTTTTAATATATCTATTTTTCTCATCCTTTAAAAGGCCACATTTTCATTGATTTTGATTTGGCCAGATGATACTAGAAACAAATTGTGGGAGGGGTCACTAAACACGGAATTTGATTGTTACTATTGCGCAATTTCGGCATCCTAAAGATGTTTTTTGTGTACAGAAATATTTTTTTTCGCAGAAAATGCATAATATAATCGTTCCGCAAATTTATTATAATACATTTTTCGCAACCCCTACTTTTAATATTCGAATTTAAGCCATGTTTGATATTTTTACATAAGGAATGGATAGCCTGATATCCAACCAAACATGTTTTATCTTAGCAACCTAAACTTGACTAATGATTATACAAGACCTGACTTTAATTACCCGTCTCATTAATTACTTGGTAAGTCATTAGTTTGGTTGTATGTATATTGTATATACAAATTATACATATACTTACAATTAGTATTCTCAACTGTACATACAACTAGAGATGGACGAACGACTTGGATCGCTCAAAGAAATGAAATAAATGATCGTTTTTATAAAACGAACAGAAAAAACAATAGTTTTTTTACTAAACAAACGAATTTTTCAAAAGAATTTGACAAAAACTATCGATTTTAATAAACGAACGATTTTTTTAAAACTAATTTTTTTAAAAAGCCATTGGGGTTTTACTAAACAAGCGATTTTTTTCGACAAACTTTTGAAATAATGATAGTATTTTTTACTGAACGAAGAATTTTACTGAACAAACGATTTTATTGAACGAATGATTATTGATTTTACTGAATGATCGTTCACTGAGAAAACGTACGAAATAGATGAAAACTGAACGATACTTTCAAGAATGAATAAAATCATTGCTTAAACGATTGAAAAAAAGCGACGTCCTTCACGAACGAAGAACGAACGAAATGAAAGAAAGTCAAACAAGAAATCGAAAATATAAAAACCATAAAATATTGTTTAATTCACATTCGTTGATTATGTAAAAATAACGCCACCCTGTATGTTTGAAACATATAGAACGCTTGCTCAGTTAAACTTAAACTGTTTTTAAAAAATAAATATTTTAATGAGTAAGTAAAAGTTTCATTTAAAATAACGTTAAAATTGTGTAAAACTAGTTTTTGAAGAATGTTTAGAAATTTTATAACTACGGGTTCCAAATACCAATTTTGCCTACTTTTGCGCTCTGAATGTTTTTTTAGGAACAATTGGTCTCTTGGGAACCCTCCCTTTGTGAAGTAAAATTCCCTTAACTTCCCTGTAAGTAGTTTTAATAAGCATTTTATAAAATATTCTTATCTTTATTGTGAAAATAATCTTTTATCAAATATGTTTGAAAGGAATTTTTATGACTTAAAAAAGAAGAAAGGTTTTTTTGCAAAGGAATGTAATTTACAGGGAAGCAAATAGAAGAGAGGATGTATATGATATTGTCAAAGAATCCGTTGCTTCAATTTTTGTCGCCAAAATATTTTTAAATGAACAGTCTGTCCTTAATAGTGTGTCCTCTAAATAATTTCCTCATTAGTATGTCCTCTAAATTGTGTCCTCTAAAGTGTGTCCTCATTATTGTGTCCTCATAAGTGTGTCCTCATTTGTGCGTCCTCATTAGTGTGTCCTCATTAGTGTGTCTTCGTTAGTATGTCTCTTTACTGGGTTCTCATTAGTGTGTCCTCATTTTTTGAAATATTAGTGTGTCCTCATTAGTGTGTCTTCATTAGTGTGTCTTATTTGTGTGTCCTCATTAGCGTGTCCTCATTGGGGTGTCCTCATTAGTGTGTTCTTATTAGTGTGTTCTCATTAGTGGGTCCTTATTAGTGGGTCCTCATTAGTGGGTCCTTATTAATGGGTCCACATTAGTTTGTCCTCATAAGCATATTCTCATTAGTGTGCCCTCGTTAATGTGTCCTCATTAGTGTGTCATTATTAGTGTGTCCTCCTTAATGAGTCATCAATGTGTTCTCTAACTTCCTTAAAGCTATTTGTTCTAACATTTTACCGGTGGAAAAATCTGATTATTGAAAGTAAGCTGCTCAAAAACCATTAAAAGTTAAAGCGCTTTTTGCAAAATGTTAAAACATGAATTTTTTTATTTTGTAAAGTTAAAATTTTTAAACACAATAACAAGCCATGAACATCAAAAGAATTTGGTATATTATTAAGGACAGAGTCAACCATTCAACAAAAAAATACTTCAACCCCTGAAATTGCAGCGGTTTTTTCTTTAATTTTTGGCAGGGGGGCTAGCTTTCTGTACCCCCTACCCCAGCCCCTCAAAATTTTTATTTCGNTATATATAGAAAACTAGGGTTAAATATAGAATTATCTGGATTTGACAATGTTTTGAAAATAACGCGTAATTGGGAAAATATTTTCTAAAATTTCTTTTAAACCAATAATATTCAAATTCATTCTTCAAGTTTCTCTTGTAGTATAGTGTTGTTAGATTTCAGATATAAACATCTAGATTCTAGGGTTATTTGCTTGAAAACCCGGCTTTAACTGGAAACTGTGCTTTCCCTGAAAAGGTGAATCCGATGGAAACATTTCGTACCTATAAACATTAAAGAAATAGATGGCTGAAAAAAATACCTGTTTTATAATTTGATAATTTTTTACCTTTTTTCGTCCGTGTTATAAATGATTGTTAAAAATTACATTTACAAACTTTTGCAAACAAATTTATGTTTTAACTTAGAAATTATACACCGTAAAAACGTCTTATTAAATGAATCCTAAAATTGTTCTTGACCCTGCACTTTATGTTCAACTGTATTACCTAGCCAGTCCCTCCCTTTAAACAGGGAATGCTTGTGAATAATATCAGGGGGTTAATTTGGAATCAACAGTATCAATATTTGCCTTCAAGAGTAATACAAATATTGTAAAAGATTTATCTCGCCTTTGCACTGCGGAGAATCAAATAAAAAGTGCCATTAACGGGACAGACCGGCTATGTAAGGAAGTTAAACTGAGTGTGCAGTGTTGTTTTCATCATTAAATTGAATTTCTTATTTTCTATGAATTTATTCGCATATTTCTATACAAATTCTTCAAATGTCGTCTTTTCAATAAAAATTCCTGAAGATCTGCAGAAAATATTTGTGAATTATCAGAAATTGTAGAAACTAATAATTGAATAAGATTAATTTTTATTTTCTCAACCTGTTCCTTAACAACTAATTAGTTTACTGTAGAATTTTTTTTTACATTTTTTAATAATATAAATAAAAAACAATTCTGAAAACGTATCCACCCAAAAGTACGATGTTGAACGTCGACTTTGTGCTCAAACTCATGATTTACAGATCTTTAAAAAGTTTTATTTGTCTCAAATGAATCCTAAAGAATTTGTCCACAACACTGCACACTCAGTTCAACGAGTTCAACTACCTTACATAGCCGGTCTGTCCCTTTAAATCTTAGAATACTTGAATCGATTCAAAGCTGTATTGTAAAGGTTGGTATGAAAATTGATTTAATTTTTTGCTTTTTAAAATATCATCATTTAGTGTATATATAATGTGTAAAAGGAATCGAAATCAAAAATGTCAAAAATTAAAACTTAAAAATTTAAACCTCAAAACTTATAACTCATTATTTTGTCAGTTTCGAGTCGATAAAATTAATCTTTCACAGTTTAATACATTCTTAAAGTCTGATTAGTTGTAGTTTTTTACTTAAGAATTGTGTACAGTCGAAGAAAAAACCTAGTCATCAAGCCGTTTTTTGTTTATTAGATCGAATGTCTTGAAACTCAAGACTAAAATTTGATAAATCTGTTTGTTGTTGTATTGCATGATAAAGAAATGAACGAAAATATTTTCTGGTAATCAAAAAAGATAACAAATCATTAGTCAATGTTTTTTTTTAATTATAAAGCAATCAATTTATTTACAAATCATATCTTTGTTCGCTGGACACCTAAAGTTGTTGGTTTATATTACTATCTAACTTGAGGTTTGATTTTGAACTACAGAAATTCAATTTGAATTATTACGTTAAGAAATTGAGTCTTTGCCACACACTCAAACTTTATAATCCATTTAACTTTGCAAGTTCATGGTGTAAACCTTTGATATTTCAAACTTAGATTATTTTATCTACCAGAATTCATAGTTTGAAATATTTAAGGTCTAGACATTGGGATGCATGAGTCAGGGATAAGAAAATCCTAATTGTGTGTTTTCGTGGATAATCTCTTTAATTCTAGTTAGGCCTGGTTGAATGTCATGCTTGACTTGCATTTAAGAATAGGTGAGTTTATGCCTAGATTTTCAGGCAGTAGCTCTTATTTCAGGCAGTTGCTTATATTTCAGGCAGTAGTTTATATTTAAGGCCCAAGACAGGCCTCACTTGGTGAAACTCTTTTATATAGGCAGGTTTAAAAAGTTGCAACTATTTTTGATACCGGACCTGTACATTCTGAATCTATAAAGCACTTGTTTTTAGCTTTAATTTGGAATTTTCAACGATTTTTGTGTGATAGCTTGCAACCTTTGAATCCCTGTGAACTCATGCTAAATTATTTTTGTTCCTACTTTTTCATTTAAAACGCATCCAAGGGCAAACAATACGAAAAAATCACGTTTTATTGGACAAAATGTGATCAAAAATGACAGCTTGCATTTGAGTTGAACTGTTATAAATGAGTGCATAAACATTGAACAGTTTAATATTTGGTTCACAATTATATTACAGCAAGTAGATTATTAAGTATAATAGGCGGCAATGAGATTTTTAAAACATTATGCATGAGGTCTGTGGTGTCAAATGTGACACAGTTTAAAGTGTTCAACTTGTTTTTGTTTAAGATTTAGTCTTAGAAAACACAAGCTAAATCCGGCGTTGCCCGTGGAATTTTAAAAACCCTAGAAAAAAATATTTAAAAAAATAGTAGAATATATATGTTATATATATATATATATACATATATATACATATAAAAATATTTTTGAAGGGAACCCATCGGTATCCTTGAGGTAACACAGACTAAAAATAGATTTTTTTAAAAGTGTTTTTAAATTTCTTCGGGCAACGCCGGGCACTTCAGCTAGTAGATAAATTGTAACAGTGTATAAAGAAAATAGAGATTTAAAGATCTGCACTATTTTTACTGATAACTTAAGCACTTTAGTCTATTTTATAACCATTACTTTATAAAAACTTGAATTTTGGAGCATTAAAAAACTGTTTTCGAATGAGGTTTTTTTATGTCGTAATTATATTTTCAAATTATAACGAAAGGGATCACTCCAGTTTAAAGGTTGCTTGATCCATGCCGGTACATTACGCACTGTAGTGTATATGCATTCCGTTGTACTGTCCAGTCAGGCTACTCAGTGTAGAGTCGACCCAGCACGTTTTATGCAACAAATGTAGCCAGGATGGTTCATTCGGCGTTTTGTTCCAGTTTTTCGTCTTAAGTTTATTTTTCAACAAAAAAGCACCCAAAAGAACTGAGCATATTCATACACATTCTCTATATGCATTATCTAATCTTTACAAAAGCAGCCTTTCTCTATTAGATTTATTATCATGTACAACTAACAGTAGCCTTGACAATAATGTTTTCAGATTTCATGACAATATGTTGTCTCGGATATTTTATTGGAAGCTGTTGATTTCACAGTTTTTACTGTTTACAGGTTTTAAACTTTTTAAACCACAAAACTTTGAAAACATGTTTTTCTTCAGTAAAGAAATCGAAACCTTTAAGTTTGACGCAAATTATATAAATTTTGAGAAAGAAAATATGATTATTGTTTATCATAATATAGCTAGCGCACATATTTTTCAACAATAATTAACGGGTATTGTTGTGAACCAGACACACCACTTTTTAAATAGGAAGTCACTTGAAATAACTTTTACAGTTCCTTTAAGTTCATTTGAATTCCCGGTCATTCCCGGTCATTCCCGGTCATTTTTGGTCATTTCGGCTATTTTCGGTTATATTCGTTCTTGTTCGTTCATTTTCGGTAATTTTCGGTAATTTTCGATCATTTTCGGTCATTTTCGGCCGTTTTTGGTGATTTAGATTAATTTAAGTTTACTATTATATTATTCAATATTTTTCAATATTGAGAGTAATTACCCTGCACTCACAGTTTCTTATTTCTTTATGTTTGATATTTCTTTCTCAGTTTTTGAAGCTTTGTCTAAACATTTTTTTTTGCTTTCAATATATTAAATATTTCTGTTTGAGGTTGCGCACGGTTTTAAGCTTTTCTAATCTGTGCCTCCATTCTTTTTCTTTTAAAATATTAAATATTACTGTTTGAAGTTACGGACTAAGCAACGGTTAGAAGCTTTTCTAAACTTTGGTTTCTTGATAATAAAATGTTAAAATTTGCATAATAAGCTGAGTCACTCTTGATGCGCTCCAATGTACGGTAAATGTCGTCTCCTAAGATAGACAGATAAAAACTTCATATGCAGTCACTGATTATAAAGGCTCGAGAGTGACGTCATATGAGGTTTTTATCTATCTATCGTGGAGCGCACCGAGGATAACCAACCTTGATATACAACCTTGAATTGTCCTAATCAGATGCAGCAAGAGTCAACAGGAAGCAATGTACACCAACTCAGAATGATGTTGAAGGAATAAGAACTTTTTAACTTCAATCGTTTTCTCCAGAAAAAAATGCTAAACAACCAAATTGTTTACAATGATTTCCCAAAAAAACATAAATAAAAAGTTGATTTTATGTCAGGCCCATTTTTTGTAGAAAATGCTCCAACAGAAACAGCTATAGGAAACAAAGCAAACATAATTATATGTAAATTTAAAATAAAAAAGTTGGATTTTTGTCCATATTTTAAACCGAAACCTTATAATTTACGATTACAGTGAAAAATCTTTAAAATCTCTATTTTTAGTTCAATTTTCATTCCGCTGAATATTACAAAACAATTTTATTTCATGGTTTTGTATTATTCACTTTGTTTTATTTTAAGCCCCGGAGGCTCAGTTAAGGGATGCAACGGAGGCTGTTAAAATCTTTGGCCAGGTGCAGAGCTGTGAGAATGAAACTTTTGGTAACCGTCCAAAAAAAATTCGGAAAAAAGGAATTTAAACCTCGGGACTTTATTTCCGGTGACATTTTGTCCTAGGACTTCAGAAAATACGGATTTTTTAAAAACATTTTTACTGCCGAGACAATTTCTTGTGAAGGCTTAAAAAAGATCTTGAATGTTTAGAAAATGACCCAAAAATGACGCCCATTTATTCCTAGACCTGGAGTACATGAAGGCAATGGCATCATTTTCAAAAACTATCGTTTTAAGCTTCGTTTTGGATTTTTCACCACTGACTAACATTCTTTTTAAGAAAAAACGAATTGTTAAAACTAAGGAAGTTTTAGCTTTTAGCTTTTGAAAAAACGAAAGGAAAGATATTGGTTTAATACAAAAACTATCGTTTTTTTATTTATTTTTATTTCGAAGTGAGGTTTTTGAATGATTTTTCCGTTTTTATCTCAAAAAGATCGTTCATTCCAAAACTATCGTTTTTGTTTCACAATAATTGTTTTTTCTTTTGTTAAACGATCGTTTCGTTTTTTCTTCTTCACAAACTATCATATCTTTTTATGTCTTTCAAAACTATCGTTTCGTATTTTTTCATAGTTAACGAAACAAAAGTTTTTCAAAAAACTTCAAAACTGCCCTTCCCTAAGTACATGTATAAATCAAATTATCAAGGTATTAGATAAAGCTTGCAATCCTATTGAAGGAGCTACAGTAGATATCTGGTATGCAGGTACAGCCAGGACCTAATATGGCCTAACATGACCCAGTATGACCTAGCATGACCTAACATGACCTAACATGACCTAACCTGACCAAACATGACCCAACATGACCTAACATGACCTAACATGACCTAACATGACCTAACATGACCCAACATGACCCAACATAACTTAACATAACCTAACATGACCAAACATGAACTGAAATGACCAAACATGACCCAACATGACCTAACATGACCTAACATGACCTAAAATGACCCAACATGAATTAACATGACCTAACATGACCAAACATGAACTGAAATGACCTAAAAAGAATTGAAAAAGACCTGAAACAGCCTAAAAAGAACTGAAAAAGACCTTAAATGCCCTAATATGAACTGAAAATGACCTGAATCGACCTGAAATGAACTAAAAAAGACCTGAAATGACCTAAAATGAATTGAAAAAGACCTGAAATGACCTAAAATCAACTAAAACAGACCTGAAATAACCTAAAATCAACTAAAACAGACCTGAAATGACCTAAACTGAATTACAAAAGACCTGAAACGACCTAAAATTAACTAAAAAAGACCTGAAACGACCAAAAATTAACTATAAACGACCTGCATAACCTATTCTGATTTAAACTTGTCTGCAGGTAAAGATAAAAGTGGAAATAAAGTTGCCTACACCTTCCCTCCTAACTATCTCTGGTTTAGAGGACAAACTCAATCTAAGAAGGTAAAAGAAATAGGAGAATATCTAGTACAAGAGAATTGAAAGGGTAAACCACAAATAATACAACTTTAGCGACGACTGTTCGAAATTTAAACTATATGTTTCCATATATATAAGGTTCTCTGCAACCGTAAACTATATGTTTCCATATATATAAGGTTCTCTGCAACTGTAAACTGGTTTTTTTCTTTGTCAAATCATTTAATAATTCATTAAACAACAATTTAGGAATGATAAATAAAAGAATAAATGAAAGTATGATGATTAAAACCTTAGATTATTTTATCTAATAGAATTTATTGTTTGAAATATCTAAGGTCTTTGACTTCAAAGATGTAGGGATTAGAAATCAGAGTTTGTGCCAAAGACTCAATTCCTTTCAAATCAAAAATTGTCTTTTACTAAATGTTCTAAAAATTTATTTTTACATTAAAAAAAATCAAATTTCATATTTTGTTTACTGTATTTTACTATTTAATGATTGACCATTTCACATATACTCGATGCCTTTCACTTTACAAAACGATGATTTTTCGTTTAAACTATAACTTAAATGATATTTTCTATTCACCTTATTCACTTTACAAAGTTTGTTTAACAGCTTTAAATAATTTAGAAATTGAAATGGATAGTCTAGGGAACATACACTATTAATGTACTCTACTGCATATAATTTGTGAACATTTACATAAAATAAACATTTTGAATTCCTTTTCAGACTAAAAAGAATTCATACCGAATAATAGTTTCTAATTTCCTTTAATCTCTGTTCTGTGGTAATAGCTAAACTATTTTGAGGGAATCCAAAAGCTAAAATATTCTATTTTTAAATTCAATTTTTTATTCCACGGTCAACGCAGGACACTTGAGCAAGCATTAGATAGGAATGGTTCATATAAAATAATGCATAGATGGATTGTTAGGAAGGTGTTTATGAATTCCAAGCAACATTTCCTGGTGTTTACGATGCTAGACCTATAGTGCATTATCATATCAAGGTAAGAGCAAATATTAATTCATTTTCTAAAAATGTGGAACTAACTTTATTTGCTCTATTAACGCCAAATTTTAAATCATAATTTAATGAATGGTTACCTGACTTCTGCTCGGCTTGTCTTCTATTTCATAAAACCAGTTTTTTTATGCTTTTTCAAGGGAGGGGGTATAGGGCAGCCATGAGCCCTCCAAAATGGTCTCCAATATTTAAATTACCTGGCGCTACCCCTAAACGTTAGAATAGATATTATAAAAGTAATAAGTAACAGTTTTCAAAAAAATGTTGAATTTTAAAATAGTTATGCAGTATTTTCTTAAATATCCAAAAAACATTGCATAACTTTTTAAATATTAATATAATATTAAAATATTAAACATCTTTTCTAAAAATGTTATACATTACTTAATATATATTCTTAAGGTTTAACCAAGGTACTAATGCAAGGAAAGTTATTTCAGAGGTGTACGCATCTTTTGTACTGCAGTGCACTGTCTTTGGGCGGAAAAGTAAACACAAGACGGATGTCACAGCCTGACACTAAAAGAATCTATGAAATATTTTGGTCATAGGAAACTATTATGTGAATTTTCAAAATTATCAAAATTAAATGCTTTTAACCTCCTAGTCCTCGGATACTAAACAAACACTGATGCATCTATTCTTGTTTACAAAGTCCACCCTGAGAGAACTGGCTACACAATGTACGCAGAGTATACGCGACCGCTATCAACTTTCCTTGAATTAGTACCTTGGGGATAAAGGCGTCCATGCAACAATCCCTCCCTAATTGTGGTTTTCTATGAAATGTATCATATAAAGACTTGAATAGTACTGTTGTAAATCAGACCTGACCCTCTTTAAATTGAGGGTCTCTTGACGTTACCATGACAATTACTTTGATAAAATATAATTTTGCATTTCCAATATTCAGAGCGTACTCTCAGAAAGTGTTTCAACTACAGGGTGTCCCACGAAAAATGACATTGGATGAAAAGTTTCTTCTATATACTGTTTAAGATATTAAAGACTTTTTGCAGTTCATTTCGTTAAAAACCTTTTACTTTGAAATAAATTTATATATAGCTTTGCAACCCGATTGTGGAAGCCTTTAAACAGAATTCCTAGTTAAAAAATTGTACGACATCTGGTTGCAAAGATATGTGGATTAGAGAGTTTGTGGGAAAGACTCAATTAGTCCTTTGAAATTTTACCATTTATGATTTTACACTTTATGTATGTATTTTCTTTTCCTTTTATGTCTTTCATATTCCTTTTATGTCTTTACTTTTCCTATTTTTTTCTTTCCTTTTCCTTTTATGTCTTTAGTATTCCTTTTAATCCTTTCCTTTTCCTATTTTTTTCTTTCTTTTTCCTTCTATGTCTTTTCTTCTCCTAATATGTTTTTTCTTTTCTTTATATTACTTTCCTTTTCCTTTTTATTTCCTTGTATTTCTTTACTAGACCTTTTATGTCTTTTCTGTTCCTATTATTTCTTTACTTTTCCTTTTATGTCCTTTTCCTTATATGTCTTTACTTTTCCCTAATAGGTCTTTCCTTTACCTTATATTACTTTCCTTTTCCTTATATTACTTTCCTTTACCTCATACTTCTTTCCTTTTCCTATTAGGTATGGAAATAAAATCTTTAGGCACCCTAACAAGTTTTAAAACAAGTCTTGAAAAAAGTTTTCTTAAAGAATATAGTAATTTTCGTTGGATAGTTTTCTAGTCTTAAGTACTGTGTACTTTACTTTTCTATTGTACAGTGTACTATACTGCATGTACTGTGTTGTACAGTGTTCTTCACTGTACTGTTCTTTTCTGCAATTCACTGTAATGTTATTTAATATACAGAAATGTACTGTACTGGTCTATTGTACAGTGTACTATACTCTATTTACAGTGTAGTTTACAGTATTGCAAAATGTATTATACTGTGTTGAACAGTGCACTGTACTGTATAGTTTACTTTACGTATTTCACAGTGTTCGAAACTGTATTGTACAGTGTACTATATGTACTGTTTTGCAAAGTGTTCTATACTGTATTGTACAGTATACTATACTGTATTGTACAGTGTACTATACTGTATTGTACAATGTGCTATATGGTAATCTACAGTGTACTATACTGTATTGTACAATGTACTATACGGTAATGCATTTTTTACTATGTTGTATTTTACAGTGTACTATTCTGTATTGTATAGTATACTATACTGTTTTGTAGAGTGTACTTTACTGTATTATACAGTGTACTATATGTACTGTATTGTACAGTGTAATATGCTGTATTGTGCAGTGTACTATACTGTATTGTACAGTGAGGGCTACTATCTTTAAAAATGACAAAGTTAGAAAGAAAAAAACATTTTGTTTTTTTAAGAGAAATTTTCAAAATTTAATTAGTATAACAGTTCACTTTCTAAAAATGCTTTAGACCATACTGATAAAAAAGGAAACAAAATTTAGCATTAAGCTTTATTCATGAAGAAACAATTATATTTTCATTCTTTTTATTTTTGTCAATCCATAAATTCTTATTTCAAAGATCTCCTGAATTTTAAATTCCAAAATTACTCTTACGTATGATACATGCAAAAAACAAAGTAAAATATAAACATGTATATATATGTACACAGGGTGAGTAAAAAAAAAGTGTGATTTGTGCAAAATTGTACCTTTTTTGTGCAACTCTCCTGTATGGTGTTTTTTCAATATTTTTGAAAAATTTGTAAATTTTTTTTTGGTACTCCAATGGCCCAAAAGAAAATCCGCGAACATTTTTTCTCTCAAAATCAAAAGTTCAGAAAAGCAAAATTGTGTATATAAACTATTTCTATCGAAATTTAAGATTTTATAAAGATTTAATCACAGAATTACAGATAATTCGCAAAATTGTAATAAGAAAATTCGCAATTTTTAGTTCTGGGTCTAATTTTTAAGGGAAAGTTATTTAAATTCTCTAGTTCCTTTCTTCTTAGTATATTCTAAAGTATCAAATATACGCTGTTCAGTTGAAACCTTAAAAACCATTGAAAAAAAAATTTCCGTAAAAATTATACCAGAACTGAAAATTGCAAATTTTCTAATAACAATTTTGCAAATTTTCTGAGATTCTGTGATTCAATCTTTTTAAAATTTTAGATTTCAATAGAAACAATTTATTTAAACATTTTTGTTTTTCTGAACTTTTGATTTGAGAGAAAAATATTTAAAAAATATTGAAAAAATACCTTACAGGAGAGTTGCAAAAAAAGGTACAATTTTGCACCAGGTGACGCAAATCAAACTTGTTTCTTGACTCACCCTGTATATATATATATATATATATATAGGTGTCAAAGTTAATTCATTCAAACTAAACGACAATTTAAACAGTATAGCTGTACATTAAAATGACAGTAAACGAAATTTCAAATTAGTTTTCCGAGGTTCGAGTAACAACATAAACCTGATCAAGGTCTAACTGAAAACAACATTAAACCTGATCAAGGTCTAACTGAAAACAACATTAAACCTGATCAAGGTCTAACTGAAAACAACATTAAACCTGATCAAGGTCTAACTGAAAATTGATTATTCTCATCTGTGGTTTCTCTGTAAAAATGAATGAAATTAGCAGAATTCCACACTTTTTTGGATTAAAAAACCACGATTTCTTCCTGATCGGTACTCAGCTTCCATTACTTATTCTTAGTACATTATAAGAATTTCTTAGATATTTCATGAAAACCAAAATGGGAATTAATCTTATTTCATACTCAATATGGATATCTCCGTCATCATATAAGGGGTACCGCTGACAATCGAACACGATACTTTACAAATAGATGGTCACGTGACATCCCGTCTGCAGTACCTTTTTATTGTTCATTTGTTCATCACGCACCCCTGATCCTTTAGTAAAAGTAAATTCAACCTAAAGTCTGACCGCGTCAACCTTGATGCACCGGCTAGTCCTATTGAGTGTCTGCTTTATTTACCCAATGTCCGGGCGATACAGTACAAACTGGGACCGGAGAGGTTGACCCGGCTCGGAAACGTAAATGTGCTACGGCTGCCCGTGTCATGTTGTTTGTGTTTAATACATCTACATTATTGAAATAATTTTTCTTTTCTACATTTCTGGAATATTTCTACAGCGGGTTTAAAAGTTTTTAAATATTTTGAAGTTGAAAAGAAACCTATGAATAAAATATAGGAAATAAACAATGTTTGTAAAACCATGTTTTCAGTTAATGAAAATAAAAAATGTTGTTGTTTGATAAAAATTATTATAACCTGATACAAATTCTGTTCTGTGGCAGTAATTTGACCTTTTCCTTGTGTCTAGTCTGCAGTAACAAAAGAGTGCTTAAATATCGTCTTTATATTCCACAGTTCTATGGGTCCCACTGTAGTTCTTGCCGCAAACTCTAATTTTCTAATTCCTTATCTTTGCAACTTTATGCTGAAAATATTTGATTTTTCAAAATCTAGCTCTTTGATCAAACAGGATTCAGAGTTTGAAATAGCAAGGGTGTACGACATCAGATTGCAAAGATATAGGAATTAAAAATCAGAGTTTGTGTCAAGATCTCTGTTCCCTTTTCTCATTGGAAAAATCACTTCAACACAAATATATTTATTCAAATTAAGATTAGCACTTTCACAATAAACAGATTTACAAATATCATTTTTTTAATTTTTTTTTCATATTTTAGTATGAAATTAAATGACCTGAAGGATAGTAAATGCTAGATTCACAGCAGTAACCTTAAAAACTTTAAAAACTATTTTTTTAATTGTGGTTTCTATAAAAAGTGATTTGGGCAGGTAACAATAAACGAATTATAAGAAATAAACACTTTAAACCTAGAAAGGTGACAATATCTTACACCTTATTGATCAAATAAAGATTTTAATGGTTGGGAATCTTTGTATAGAGGGTCACTTGAAATTACATTTACAGTCCTTTAAGTTTCAAACGATTATTTTTTTGTTTTAGTTTTTCATGATATTTAAATTTAATATGTTTCCAAAACATTAACTGTTTGGAGAAAAGTGATTCCAAACTAAAATTTATAGTTAATTCATGGTTGAAATAATTTGAGTATCAATTTACTTTAATTCCGAATTTGAAATTTGAGATTTATATTACACGATGAAAAATAATTACTTAAAACTTGAAAATATCGTTTAGAGTAGGGTTTCCAGCGCAAGTCGATTTTACTAAAGCGCAATTGCGAGCCCTTTGTTTCTGCGCAATTAAGCGCAACAAAATTCCGGCCGATTGGAAAGTTGCGATAATGAAGTTTTTTTATCTAAAATTTATTGGCATGCAATGGACAGATTAGTTTCACTTTTTCGTTTTAGCAGTTGGACTTGGTACGTGCTGTTGAACTACTTTATCAGTGCTGGTTTAATGTAGAGTACTCCTTATATATTTCAAACTGTGAATTCTATCAGTGCTGAAAACTTTAGAATTGAATGCCCTTAATCCCGATCGGTTAATTAATTTGGAGATTAATTACAAGAGGAGAACAAGCATAATTTAATCTCGAGATTAAGTAAAAGTGTGGATCAGGCATTAATCCCGATATCCACCATTCAAAAGTTTCAGCTTAGATCAAATAATCTCAGGGTTGGATACAGGAATTTATTAGGGGTGAGCAAAACTATTAATGCGCGTTGAGCGAAATTTTTTTTTCTTGATCTCCCCTAGAGGGGTGAGCGGGGGGGGACACTAGATAGAATATTATCCTTGATTTCGACCTTCATATATATAATGTTCACCCTCAAATTAAACAGTTTTTTGTGTCACCCTTTTTCTCATTTTTTTTTGCTCTGAACTTTCACTCACATAACATGGTACACTATGCTAGGCCGATTTAGCGCGAAATTCAATATAAATATTTCTCTCTATTTTCCGTAGCTCATCCTTAAAGCTTCAACCTTAGGGGTGAGCAGTTTTCAGGGGTGCGCGACCGCTCTATGTCTCCCCCCTGTATCCGCCCCTGATAAATCTAAGTTTGAAATATCAAAGGTTGTCAAGATATCGGGACTGACTCTGTTCCTTTCTCAGATTTCTGTGGAACCTTATTAAAGTCCAAAACTTAAAAAAACTTGTGCATAAAATAAAAACTATATGTCACAAAGTCGTAAAAACATTGTCCTACAAATATGAATTTCTTCTTCTGTTAGTGTCCAGTGAGATATTTTTCTCAATATTTAGAAAAGAAAAATGTGATTATTTAACTGTATAATAAATCACACAAATAACTTGATATTAACAAGAAATATTTTAATATTTAGTACACTTATACGTAGATACATTTATTAACATAAAATATATTCTTCTTTTGGTCAGCGAGAGAGGGGTGGGTGTTCTCAGGGTTTTGGAATTGCTTACAGGGTTTCGGACTTCGGAGTGCTCCCAGGATTTTGGAGTAAAATGTGAAATTCTATCCGACATTTTATGAAAAGTCCTTTATAAAGGGTACTTTAAAACCAAAAATTGAAAAAGGGCTCTGCTGTCTACTTTCTTCGTTCAGATATTTGCAGGGGAAAAAATCGCAAATTTCAGTCCAAGTAGCCTGTGGCGATCATTTAGTTTTGATTAGCCAAACTGACGACAATTTTGTTTTAGCTTATACATTTAAGATTATTACATGGTTAATGTAAAAAAAATGTTCAGCTAGATATGTACATAAAGGTTTCATTTAAGCTGGTAATACATCTTAGCATCATAATAAATTATCTTATTTTCACACTTTTTTCAGAAAACATCCAGTTTTTTGCCTAAAATATCTTTAATTAGTTGTTGCCATTTAAAAATACGTTTTTACTCAACAGTCAGAAAATAAAAAAGGTGATATGTCAAATTTACAGCCTTTTATATGGCCCGCACTATGCCTAAAATCATCAAATTATTAAGATATCTGAGGAAAACTAAGAAAAAACATAGCTAAGCCACATCAACTAAACTTGATGTCCGCTAAGTAGAATTTTAAAATTAATATATGAGATAATTTAAAAAAAGGGGTGTATATTTTTCTTCTTGAGCACGTAATAATCGAATTTTCAAAAAAAAATTTAAATAATACAAAAAGTTAAAAGAAGAAAAGGAATTATTTGAAAGATTTCTTTTTTTTTGTTTGTTTTTTTTGTCTAAATCGTAACTCCTTTTAGTAACCTGTTTTAAATTACAGTTTTCTTTATAAAAAAAAACACATTTATATTCACTTTTTTCCTGTAAGGAATTTTAGTTTCACTTAAAGAGTTTCTCCTTTTTCAAAATGTTTTCTTTTTCCGTCACAGCTTTTTACAATCTAGTTCGATTTTTGATAGCTAGGATACAGCTCAACCTTTAAATAGTTTGAGCAGAACTACTCAACGTTTTTTTAAAGACCTTTCTTTAATATGTAAAGAACCTCCATTCTTTGAAGATCTATTTTCAGTTAGTACAATTTCTTCCCAGTCTTTAAAGATTTATCCTCAATTTGGGCAAATCCTTCTCAATCTCGACAGTCTTTTGTAAATCTTTCTCCAATTAATGCAGAACCTTCTCGATCCTGTGAAGAAATATTTTCAATTCTTACAGAACATTCTCTGTGCTTGAAGTTCTATCTACAATTCGGGTAGATCCTTCTCTGTCTTTTCAAGATCTTTTTTTCTCTATTTGTGCAAAACATTCTTCGCTTGTTGAAGATCTTTTTCTCTAATTCATGCAGAACCTTCTCCACCTTTTTAAAGATTCATAACCTTCTCAATCTGATATTTCTTCATTTTTGGCAAAACCTTCTTTTGAAGATATTTCTCCAGTTTGTGCAGAACCTTTTCTGGCTTTAGAAGATCTTTCTTCGATTAGGGAGGAACCTTCTCCATCATTTGTATAAGATTGTACTTTAATTAGATCAGAAGCGTTGCCAGTCTTCAGGGTTTTTTCTTCAATTTGAACATTATTTTCACATGATTTCGAAAATTCATCATAATCTTCCTCATGTGCTGCAGATCTTTCTTCCTCCCTCTCACTCTCATCTTTTATCAGCACAACACCTTCCACTTGGCTAGATTCTTCGACATTTTCAATGATCCCTTCGATGGATTCTGTTTTCTGTGGTTCTTTAAGTATTTGAACTGATATCTCATTTAAATATACCGACCCATCATCTTTGTGGAAGATGGCAACACGGGCAACTGTTTTCTTGAGCACTTCTTTTTGGGATGATTCCTTTCTTTTAGGAGATGTCTCAAGGGGTTCTCCCACGTGCTATAACATTAATAAAATTATACCTTATTTTATTTGATTTTTCCATAGTTTGAGAAAAGATGTAATTTCCAATCAAAAAAGAAAGCAATTCTTTCAAGCTTTAATTTACTGAGAACACAAGAAAGTGAAGAATCTAAAGTATTTTTACATCAAGACAATTATATAATCATTAAGTGCATCAAGGCAAAACATAATTTAATAACAAAATTTTCTTTGTATTTATTTGAAGATGCATTAGAGAAAAAGTGGCAGAGTAGGGGCAACCATTGAGGGAAGATGGGGTTTATTCTTTAAAGGGACTGTAAGCATAATTTCAAGTGATCCTTCATGCAAAGATGGCAATGCCCGATTTACAATGGTACCCTTAAAACCTTTGTCTGATGGAGAATGAATTAAATACCATTGTTTATAATTTTGAAAACTGATTATTTTTAATTGTAGATTGCGCATCTCTACTGCAAAAATTAGAATTAATATTTTTAAACCTAGAAGAACACGCGACAACATCTTCCACATTTTTAATTAGATAAAGGTTTCAAGGGTATCGTTGTAAATCAGGTATGGAGGGCCAACTGAAATAACGCTTACAATTCATTTAAACGTTTTATCAACATTTTTTGATAAATACTTTTGTTGAAACTAAAGGAATTGAGTTGTTGTCACAAACTCTAATCCCTATATCTTTGCATTTCAATGTCAGAGACCTTAGATATTTCAAACTATAAATTATTTTAGATCAAATAATAATAGTTTGAAATATCAAAGAATAACACCATCAGGTTGCAAAGATATAGCGCTCAGAATTCGTGGCTAAAACTCAATTCCTTTACAGGCTATAATTTAGTACCAAAATTTAGGTCAGCAAAAAATTAATTATATTTTTGATAGTTTATGTTAAAATCATCATTACAGACTATAAATTTATATATAGGCATTGTTTTCACTAACAAACAAAATATTTAGAAACAAATAAAATTTGTCGTGAATGATGGTGTTGTTTAGAATAATATGGACAAACTATGGACGAAGGAATTGGATCGTTCAGAGCAATATAAAACGGATATTTTTTTAACAAAAAAACTTAAACGACCAATTTTTAATCGTTAATGATTTTATTAATTGGTCAGACTGTTAATGAACAATTTCTAAATTGTTTGTTCAAACAAAAGAATAAAACGAATGACCGAACAAATCAAATTTTTTATTGAACGACTGAAAGAACGAAATGAGTTGTTAACAAACTATAAACGAACTATTTATATAAAAGCTGAATGCGCCCGTCTATGACAGAAAATGTTGAATAAATTGCTCTTTTACAAATATTTTAAAGCATTCTTTCTTTTTGTTCTTTTCAGATGTGCAATCAGGCATTGTGTTAAGGGGCAGGGGCGGAGATATTTTTCAGGTCTAAAAAAAAATAAAATATTGCATGGTTACTAACCATTGGAGGATCTGAAGTTGGAGTGCTTGTTGCAGACTCATGGTTTTGAGTATTTGAAGCACAGTGGATGTTGATACTGAAATATATTCATTATTGCAAGACAAGATCTTCCTAAAGTTAAAAACACTATAAAATAAAGCCTCAACTTAAATCTATATATTTAATTTCAGAATTCATGACATTATCTAATCTAATTATCTAATTATCTAATTATCTAATTATCTAATTATCTAATTATCTAATTATCTAATTATCTAATTATCTAATCTAATAATTATCTAATTATCTAATTATCTAATTATCTAATCTAATTATCTAATTATCTAATTATCTAATTATCTAATGGTGATGTTAATAAAACTTCTAAGAATTCAAAAGAGCAAATTATGATAAAGTTTGCTTTTATTAAACTTTGCAATATCTTTATACTGAAAAAATGAGAAAATGATCTGAAAACGATCGTTAAAACATGTGTGTTTTTGCATCGTTTTTGCATCATTTTTGCATCATTTTGCATCGTTTTTGGATAGCTTTTGGGTCATTTATTGCATTTTTTTCTGTCAGGGTTAAAAAATGTTTAGGATAAACAATTCTGAAAACATTTGCTTTTCATACACTCTGCCAAATTTTGATCAAATATAAGCAAAGACGACCCCAAACAAACCTACTAAATATATTCCCTATCATGGGGCTCTCACAAATATTGTTTACCACACCCTTGTCTGACCTTTTAAGAACTTTTTGTAGCATGCTCTTGAACTTTTTCCCATAAGTGCAGTAGATGAGGAAGTTGACCGAACCACTCATTACAAGAATGACATGATTGAGACTCGCCAGACACATGAACCAGTCCGGAGGGGTAAACATTCCATTGCAGCTGCAAATATGAATATTATCATTGAGCTGCTCTCAGTTTGTAATTCTATTATTGTATTATTAAATTCAATCATCATCTCTTTTTATTTTTTCTTGTTTAAGCTTTTTTTAACCATTTAAATTGCTGACAAAATATTTATTTTCCTTTATGGCTCATGGTAAAAGAAGACCCTATTTCATAAAAATAAACCCAAGTTAAATCTCGTGGTTCTCAGTTCATCAAAGATCTAGGTAAATTTAATTTAGAATCTATTTACAGAGTGTCCCATATCATATTGGATTATATTCAAACTTAAACAGAATACTAATAGAATCTTATATTTTCTTGATAAAAATTTTCAGATTAGCCTTCAATTTTTTTCATTATTCATTCTTTTTATTTGATTGCAGTAAAGTAAAGTAAAGTTTTAAATCTTAAAATTATTAAAGCTAACCTCAGTATTTCCTCGGTGAGAAATATCTCGTAAAGGTTAAGAACCACCCGTAGAATATTACAGATGAGGAAAACGAAGACAATGCAGATAAGAACTCCCGCCAAATTTACTTCTCGTCCAACGGAGTTTCGGGCGCGCACATGACTGTACCTTTTAATGATAAACATATGGCCCGTATTGCCAGGATTTTCCAAAGGAGGTTTAACTTGGTTGATCTGAGGGAACAGCTTTAGAAAAGAATTATTAAGGCATAGAATATTATACCAAGCATGGCTTATTTAAAAAAGGGAGGTACAAATTCGTCATTGTACCCCACCCCCTGGCTACGGGCTGATAAACATAATTCAATATAATCTGTTTTAAAGCAAATTAAGTTCTTAATCTAAATTATCCAGATTTTTATTTTTAAGGCTTTTTTAAAATCTGTTCTGGAAAAATATTTAACTTTGCTCTCAAAATCATTACTTTTATTGTGTGTATAAGGTTTCAATTAATTTATTTATATCTATTCATTTATCTATTAATTAATTTATTTCTTTATTTATTTATTTGTTTATCGAGTTATTCATTTACTTACTTATTTATTTTTTATTTATTTATGTATTTATTAATTTATTTATTAATTTATTTTTTTATTTATTTATTTATTTATTTATTTAGTTAGTTAGTTACTTATCTAATAAAGCTAAATATTTTATCAATGAAGATAATATAACTCTTTCAAGATTTTTAAAAATTTGCGCATAAATCTTTTTCATAGATTACACAGAAGGAACAAGGAAAAGAACATTTATTTTTTACTTTGGTAACTTTGGTTTTTAATACCCTGTACAATGCAATTTCACTTGCTTGAAAGTAAATCCCCAGTTCTCAAAAGTTGGGGTTCTGAGTGTGAAGTACACTAACAATTATAGTATTTAAATACAACCAATACTTGTCCTGCTCTATCATGATAATTTTTTATTTTACCTTATCCCAGAAAATATTTGCAGGTTAAAGAAGACAAGAGAAGCAAAGGGTATGAAGCATGTGAACAAAAATCTGCAGATGTTTATGTAGTATCTGAATAAAAAATATTAAATCAGCTTTTAGAAAAATAGACATCATTTAAAAGGAATAAAACTAAAGATGGAATGGTTTAAGGACAAATTGTGTGCTGAAGAAACATGTCTTTTAAGAGCCATGCAAGTACAGCAATCATTTTTAATACAGAATTTAAATGAGCCCAAAATTTGCTTGGCTAAAGAGGATCGACTATTCCAGTGTTTACAGGTACCAGCCTGTCTAGTGTACGTAAGTATGTGGTTGACCCAGCGCGTTTTTTGCAACAAAATTAGGTAGGCTGAACGAGGGGAGGAAGGTCAGCCACAACAATTTCTAGTCCAAGCAACATTCTCATCATTTTCTTGTACGAGCCACCTCGAAATCCTCGTCCTTCCAAGTGTCTAATCCTCCAAAGTAAAACTATTTTTTAAGAATCAGGCCAAGTCAGGCCATAAATAAAAATATTGAATTATTGTAAATAGAAAACAATCGTTTCAATTAAATTAAATTGTTCGAGTTTAATGTCCAAAAAATTTTCATATTTTTAACGCGCATTTTTTATTATTCCTGGTGTAAAATGCCCAAATAATTCGTGATTTAAAGAACTTTATTCTTTTTTGTTATTTATATTAAAATCATTGAATTTTTCCGAGTGGTTCCACGGGGAGAATAATAGGCGAATACTAATCGCGAGGTTTCCAACATGATGTAAGCATTACAATTATTTAGTCTATTCATCATTTATGCCCTACTGAGGTAGCCGGATTTTTAAAAACAGTTATATTTTCAAGAATTAGAAGCATTAAAACACATAATAATTGAAGGACGAGGATTTCGAGGTGGCTCGGATGAGTAATTGAAGAGAATGAGGCTCTAAAGAGAAATTGTTTTGGCTGGCCTTCCTATCCTCGCTGAAGCAATATAAAAGAACAGTTTTGAAATACCTGATGTAGTTCGGATCCTGTCGTAAAGCAGAAAGTTTGAAGCTCAGTGTTGAATCCTGATCATAGTTTAAAATCTATTATTATGACGATTACAATTTTACTGAGAAGATATTGTTTAATTGATGTAAGGTATGTTTCCAATGGCATTTATCCTAGAGTGACTTTCCAAGTGAGAATTTCATAAGTGGCAACTTTCTAAATGTGGAATTTCCCAAGCAACAACTTCCCAAAGGTTAGGTTAGGCCTTCTGAGGCAATGCAGGCTGCAATAAGAGCTGAGCGCTGCAGCTAGGACTGACTTGGGAAGTTGCCGCTTGGGAAATTGCACATTTGGGAAGTGGCCACTTGGAAAAATACCCTTGGAAGTTGCCATTTGGGAAAATGCCTTGGGGAAAGTACCTCACATTGTTTAAATTATCTACTAACCGTGTACTCGAACTCCGTTTCGAAGAAGCGTGGTAGGTTGAAAAGAAAGCTGAACAGGAGGACAGGTATAATATAACCAAGAAGACGACAATTAGCACTTCCTCCAGTGGAGATGTTTCGGAAGTAGTGGGGATGGCAGACTGCCAAATACCTTAACAGAACTCTCTATAGCCAAGATTGGAAAAACGCGTATTGAGCGCAAATTGTAGGGGCTGGATAGATTGCTAATAGGCGCATTTAGAAAATTGAATTTACCTCTCTTTGGATAAATAGCAAGAGTTTTTTATAATATAATATTCTCAACCTATTTAAGATCAAATGCCGCGGGAAAACTATTTCAGGGAAATTAATTTATCTTAAAATAATTTATCTCTAGAATACAAAAATTAGAATTCTGAACAAGGATATTTGGATATATTTTTTAAATCTTATTCAACCCTTTAAAGCTGCGAACATCTGAGCGCAGACCGGCGTCAAGAATTTTTAAAAAAATTTCACGACGACATTTCTTGCGCTCTTGCTATGTATCCTTATATCTGAGGTTGGCTGTATATGAACCCGGAGATGGTGCAGATTATGGTCTACAAATGATGTTTAGGGTTAATTAGTAGATAAAATTTATCAATCACGCACAACCGGTGTACATTTGAATATCCTAACTGGGCCAATCTTTGCGGTCCTAGTTTAAACTGTGCTTCCAATTTACAGATACCAAAGCAGACCTGTCTGCAATGGCAATGTCAACAAGACTACATTATTGAATTTTTACAACTCTTAAATCTGTACCCAATCGTTTTTTAAATCAAAATTTCAAAAGAAATAAGTGTTTAAAAAAGAACTAATTAAAAACAAATACCTTTCATATGCAATTGCTATTGTGAGATATGCTGAGGCACAGAAGGAGACTGAGTTCAGAGGGAACAAGAACTTTGGTACAAGTATAGTGTAGGCTTCGCTGTTGTAAGATACAGGCCATTCCCATTCTGAAATACAAAGTTAAATGGATTAAAGACACAGATAAGGTAGGTAAAGAGCCATGACTGACGTGGACGGCCCTGCCTATGTAGCACAAATGGGATTTTGCTAATCATACGGCTGCATATTGCTGTATAATTTGAGTTAATCAATGAATCGAGATGGAAATTTTGGTGCTATTGTGCAGAGTATTGTCTGCATATCAACTCTGCACAGTGGGTTAAGTGGCTACAGGGAGGAAGCATTGCTAGTTTTTAGTCTCAGTAATCATGAAAATACAACTATTTCCTGGCTTTAAGCCCATTGTGCATTTTTACATGACGGTTGCGGTTTTGTGCTTCTTCAACGCGACACATACCGACTTGTTAGACGCCTGGCACGCATCAACCCTGCATATTTGTCTACCGAAGCAAACACAGATTTTACAAATACTTTCATACTTTCCTTGAATTTTCTCAAATTAACATCAATATCAAGTAAAAATGTCTGATTTAAACTGTTTGGAAATGTTTAATTTTGGCTCTAGGTTTAGAAGTTAGGGCTGGGATGCATGTCATAGGGTAGTCTGCGATAGAATGCAATTTAGTAGATTATAGTAATTGCTTTAAAATCCAGAACTTAACACGTTTTTACTATCAATTTCTTTGTCACAAACTATAAAATTTGTTACTTATAATGACTATTTTTTGTAAACACAAGGAAATATTAAAAATAGGACTACTTTCAAAGCTTTAAGAGTTATTTAATGATGTTGATGGCTAATAGGAAATCTATAGATCAAGCCAAAACTCAAGGCAACGATCTTAGCTAGGTCAACCGGACAATAACAATCTAAAGATCAATCCAAAACTCAAGGCAATGATCTTAGCTATCTCAACTGGACAATAGCAATCTATAGATCAATCCAAAACTCAAGTCAATGATCTTAGCTATCTCAACCGGACAATAACAATCTAAAGATCAATCCAAAACTCAAGGCAATGATCTTAGCTATCTCAACTGGACAATAGCAATCTATAGATCAATCCAAAACTCAAGTCAATGATCTTAGCTATCTCAACCGGACAATAACAATCTATAGATCAAGCCAAAACTCAAGGCAACGATCTTAGCTATCTCAACCGGACAATAACAATCTATAGATCAAGCCAAAACTCAAGGCAACAATCTTAGCTATGTCAACCGGACAATAGCAATCTATAGATCAATCCAAAACTCAAGACAATGATCTTAGCTATCTCAACTGGACAATAGCAATCTATAGATCAATCCAAAACTCAAGTCAATGATCTTAGCTATCTCAACCGGACAATAACAATCTATAGATCAATCCAAAACTCAAGGCAACAATCTAAGCTATGTCAACCGGACAATAGCAATCTATAGATCAATCCAAAACTCAAACCAATGATCTTAGCTATCTCAACCAGACAATAACAATCTATAGATCAATCCAAAACTCAAGGCAACAATCTTAGCTATCTCAACCGGACAATAACAATCTATAGATCAATCCAAAACTCAAGGCAATGATCTTAGCTATCTCAACCAGACAATAACAATCTATAGATCAATCCAAAACTCAAGGCAACAATCTTAGCTATGTCAACCAGACAATAACAATCAATTCTGAAACATACGAATTACCAAATTACTCTCAACACTCTAATTACAGCAGAGTTTCTGTATTAACTAAGGTAAAATTCTTCAGTTTAGATAAGAATTGGGTCTTTAACAGCGTAATTACAAGTTATGCACAATCACAATATGGGTATGACGGAGTTTTTTATATCTACGTACATTGAATGGGTCAATCGCAATACATAATTTACGTATTTACAAATGGGTACATTTAGCTAGATTGACAATATACATTATACAACGTAATTTACTATGGGGCTCTTAACAAATTCTTAGCAAAGAGGATTTATATTCGTCACATAATTCTCATGTTTATTGGGACACTCTGTAGAAAACAAAGTAAACGTTAAACTATAAATGTTACAATAAGCTAAAAAATAGTCTCATTGGCTAAATAAATTTTACCTTTCAACAGGGTGTAGTCAAATATGATCACTAGGATGAATATGTTGTCGAAGCAAGCTAGGGTTAACAGTAGTCTAATCAAAGTAAGCTAGGGTTAACAGTAGTCTAAACAAAGTAAGCTAGGGTTAACAGTAGTCTAATCAAAGTAAGCTAGAGTTAACAGTAGTCTAAACAAAGTAAGCTAGGATTAACAGTAGTCTAAACAAAGTTAGCTAGGTTTATCAGTAGTCTAAACAAAGTAAGCTAGAGTTAACAGTAGTCTAAACAAAGTAAGCTAGGGTTATCAGTAGTCTAAACAAAGTTAGCTAGGGTTAACAGTAGTCTAAACAAAGTAAGCTAGAGTTATCAGTAGTCTAAACAAAGTAAGCTAGAGTTATCAGTAGTCTAAACAAAGTAAGCTAGGGTTATCAGTAGTCTAAACAAAGTTAGCTAGGGTTAATAGTAGTCTAAACAAAGTAAGCTAGGGTTAACAGTAGTCTAAACAAAGTTAGCTAGGGTTAACAGTAGTCTAAACAAAGTAAGCTAGAGTTAACAGTAGTCTAAACAAAGTAAGCTAGGATTTACAGTAGTCTAAACAAAGTAAGCTAGGGTTATCAGTAGTCTAAACAAAGTAAGCTAGAGTTATCAGTAGTCTAAACAAAGTAAGCTAGGGTTAACAGTAGTCTAAACAAAGTAAGCTAGGGTTAACAGTAGTCTAAACAAAGTAAGCTAGGGTTAACAGTAGTCTAAACAAAGTAAAATAGGTTAACAGTAGTCTAAACAAAGTAAGCTAGGGTTAACAGTAGTCTAAACATAGTAAGCTATGGTTAACAGTAGTCTAAACAAAGTAAGCTCTGGTTAACAGTAGTCTAAACAAAGATTCAGTTGTTTACTTATGGCTTAAATCTGATATAAAAGTCCATATTCAAAAATATTAAGATATAAAAGCATTTTTAAAAAAAATTATTCATTAATATGTTAAAAAAAAGAATATTCACATGTTAAAATATATTAAAAAAATTAAATACATATTAAAAAATTATCACCTGTTGAAACAGTTTTTCATTTCCTGTCTTGAGAGAATAATAATAGATACTGTATTGCCAATTAATCCAAAACATCATAATAATACCAAGAGTATTCCTTCCAGCCAGAAACTGCAAGTTGCAGGGGAGAAATAGCCAGGGAGGGGCGCAATACTAGGATTACATTCAACAATACTAGGAATACATTCAACAATACTAGGAATACATTCAACAATTCTAGGAATGTAACAAATATCGTAACAAACACTATATTTGTAAACCTGAACACACCTAGATATATTACGTTGTAAATTGTCTGAAAATCTAAATGCGCATGTAAATAGCTAAGCAAAACTTGTATTGTGATTAACCTTACCTAGCCACGTCTAAATAACTACATCAAACCTGTATTGTGATTAGCTTAACTATGCTTGTATTTAAGGACGAAAAACTTTTAATTACGTTCATTAACTTAACTTGTAACATAGAAATCAAAATAAATGTCAGTTGGAAAATACTCCACTTTGATTACAGTGAGAGAGTAATTGGTTTCCTCGTTTGAGATTGGTATGGATCTAAAACTATTTATTATCGTTGGGCATTTACTACAGGAATACATTCATTAATACTAGGAATACATTCAATAATATTAGGAATACATTCATTAATACTAGGAATACATTCAATAATACTAGGAATACATTCATTAATACTAGGAATAAAACATTGAACAATACTAGGAATATATCATTAATACGAGGAATTCATTCATTAATACTAATTCATTCATTGACACAAGGAATACATTAATGAATAAAAGGAATACATTTATTTATGCTAGGAATACATTCATTAATACAAGGAATACATTCAGTAATACTAGAAATACATTCATTAATACTAGGAATACATTCATTTATAAATAATACATTCATTGAAACTAAGAATTCATTCATTAATACAAGGAATACATTCAGTAATACTAGGAATACATTCATTAATACAAGGAATACATTCAGTAATACTAGGAATACATTCATTAATACTAGGAATACATTCAGTAATAATAGGAATACATTCATTAATACTAAAAATTCATTTATTTATACTTAAAAATACTTTAAATATTTTATTACTAGATATAAAATCCTTAATTCTGAATACTTTATTTTAAATTCAATTCAAAAGTGCTTTAATAATTTAATTTGATTTGCAAGTTTTCAGAATTATGAGTATGTTGTCAGGAGTAGATTACTTTTTAGAATACATAAGTCCTAAGTATTTATTTAATTTTGCAATTTTACCTCGAATTTTCTTCTGCCATATTCTTGAGTCTGAAATATTCTATAGTTTGAAATCAATTAAAGCAATGATTCTGAATCGTGATTAGACCGATCAGAGCTGAAAACTTTAGAATAGGATATCCTTAATCCCAATCGGTTTATTAATATGGAGATTAATAACAAGAGGAGAACAAGCATTATTTAATCTCGAGATTAAGAAAGAGAGTGGATCAAGCCTTAATCCCGATATTTTTGCAAATTTGTATATACACTGCAAGGTGTCCCAAAAATACTGTTTTATGTTTTTTTTATGATTTTATTTTAATATTGTTGGACCTTTCAGAAATCTACGCAACATTTACGATCCTGGTCTGTAGAATAAAAATTGAGAAAGTTTTGACATTTTGAAGTTTGGCATTTTGGCTTGGATTGAGATAATATCAAAAGTAAAAGAAATTTTTTTTTATTTTTGTACAGTTTATAAAATGACAAACACAAAATATAAGAAAAGGATTAAAAATAATGAAATTAATGAAATGTTTTTAATTAATTTGTATTCTAAATATTTTTCATTGTAAACGATTCAATTCTTAACTTAACTTTTTATTCATTTAAGTCCCTAGCTTTTGGTGTGGTAGACAGCCATTGGATTTAAGATCTTTTTCAAAGATTTTCATGTTTTGAGACCGAAATATAATCACAAAACATGAACAAAAAACAAAACTATGAAATTTACTAACTCAACCAAGCAGAGAAACACCTACCGGACAAAAAATCGTCGTTTTGTATATAAAACAAAAAATATATTATGAAATATCAACTATATACGAATGCGTCGAATATTAAAACTTTCTGAAATAGTTTGGACGCTACCTTCTTTGGCATGAGTCGTTTTTAACAATTTTCTTATTATAGACGCAACAGATCATGGGCAGTCGGAGTACATTTGAATTTCCGAGCCGGGTCAACCTTTCCGGTACAAGTTTGTACTGTACCTAGCTCTATGGACAGGACTAGCTGGTGCAACAAGGTTGACGCGGTTAGATTTTAAGTTGAATTTACTTTTACTAAAGGGGCAGATTTGCGTGAGATAGATTAGTAACAATCACCATCGAATATGTTTCGACGTAAGCCTATACCCCCTTTCATGTTTCGCGAACACTCCCTTTAAAGGGAACCATTGTGAAACGAACTTGCAATAAGACATTAATATGAAAACGGCGTTATCAAGGAAAAACTGGTTGTATTTTTACATTGGAACCCTTTAAACATATATTGTTGAGTTACTATTTCTCAACTACGTTAACTGTTCTCTATTAGGATGGACCTCGGGAAAATAATGAGATAGGGAAAATTAAATAGATTATCAAGTACAATTGGTGGGAACAGAGAAATGAACCAATTATGCACGACGTCACAAGTGTCAAATATAAAAAGGAAAATGAAATTTTCTCACATTAGTTGACATGTTTTACAAGATTAAATAAAAAAGTTTAAAAACAGGAAATAAAGAACACATAAAATTTCACTTATTTTTCTGCACTTTATTCTTAAACTATCACTATTATTAATAATTTAGTTGGACACAAAAACTGGATTGACACTTGTGACGTCAGAGTACAGCTGTACTGAGAGTGTACAAATTCTACGTTGCCATCTATTGTACTAGAATCTATTTGGGGAAAATAAGATTTCAGACTTGTAATATATTACTTAAATAAAAAAGTAATAAACTTATTAGTCCTTGATTTATATTCAACGTCGCCTAGATCCTAGTTTGCTACGCGGGACTTTATTTGTTGAATTTCTCTACTTATAGATTTAAATGGATCGAGCCTTGGTTCAGTTTTATAATAATAATTCTAAGTTGGAAGGACTTATAAATTAAAGCTTATACTGTTGAACTAAAAAAATAAAAGGCCTTTTGTGAATTTTTAAGACCAAAATACTTGTAAAAAAGTCTAAATGAAAGAAATAATAATAATTCTAAGTTGTAAATATTTATAAGGTTAAGACTTTTATTGATGAAACACTAATATGAACTTAAAAAATTGACTAAAGTTCTATTATTTCTAAGTCCAAAATACTTGTAAAATTTTCACCCTGTGACGTTATAAATTTTCTAAGACTTAAAAATGGAAGAATGGGATAAGTGTGAATAATAATATGGATTTATTTTCGAAGACCATTAAAAATCTTAGTTTTGAAAAAAATATTTTTGTTCACAAGTTTAAATTCACAATGTGGTTTCAAAATACAACACTTAAAAAAAAAGAGTTTTACAATCTGGACTCTGACCAATCGGGAACCCGGACCCGTTTTTTTTAGAATTCTCTTTGTTAAAAAATTATGATGACAATACAAAACTTAAAGAAAGTTTCTTGATTACAAACAATATGAATATTACTTTTGCATTTTAGATTATAAATAAACTAACTTTTCGTTGAAAATATTAGTTAATTAATTTCTGACGTGCTTTTGTTTAAGAATTAAGATGCTATAGCTATTATTTTATTCTCATAATTATAATTATGTAAAAGCTATAAGAAAGTGTGAATTATTAAGCTATAAGAAAGCGTTAACTATTAAGCTATAAGAAAGTGTGAGCTATTAAGCTATAAGAAAGCGTGAAAAATTAAGCTATAAGAAAGCGTGAACTATTAAGCTATAAGAAAGCGTGAACTATTAAGCTATAAGAAAGAGTGAACTATTAAGCTATAAGAAAGTGTGAACTATTAAGCTATAAGAAGGCGTGAACTATTAGGCTTTAAAAAAGTGTGAACTATTAAGCTATAAGAAAGTGTGAACTATTAAGCTATAAGAAAGCGTTAACTATTAAGCTATAAGAAAGTGTGAACTATTAAGCTATAAGAAAGCGTGAACTATTTATTAAGCTATAAGAAAGCGTGAACTATTAAGCTATAAGAAAGCGTGAACTATTAAGCTATAAGAAAGTGTGAACTATTAAGCTATAAGAAATTGTGAAAGTGTGAACTATTAAGCTATAAGAAAGTGTGAACTATTAAGCTATAAGAAAGTGTGAACTATTAAGCGTGAAAAATTTTAAATTTCCAAATCATGCAACATTTGCAAGAAACTGCAATTACTCTTCTCAAAACCAAATTTTCAAATTCTTATATCTTTGCAACCTAATGGCGTAGACCTTAAATTTAACAAAAGATGATTTCCTTTAGATAAAATAGGCGTTCATCAGGTTTCAAAGATATCAGGATTTTTCAAGTCCGAAATATTGTATGCATAGAGAATAGAATATATAGAGAGGAATTTACCAGAAAAAAGTGTAAAACGGCCATTTTGTTGTACTGCTTCCATACTGCAGGTGTACTTCACATATTTATGCCATATAATAGGCTGAAAGGGACTGAAAAAATTCATACCGAGAGATTCTTTTAATTCCTCTCTATATATTCTATTCTCTATGACTGTATGGAACCCGGTAACCCTTTTTTTCTGAACAAAAATTATGGAGCTACGATTATTTTTTCTATTTAAAAATCGACTATTTTCAATTGCAGTTTTCTAAAAGTGAAAAGCGGATTTTTTCAGAAACGGAAGTTCAAAATCGTGTATGCTTTCAAAACAGGAAAGCGATCATTGTAAGGATGACTTGTAATTACGCCGACTGTCTCTTTAAGAAAAGCGAGAAAGAAAATACCGAAGAAAGTTCTCACAATGAACCTACCGAAAGCGCTTCTAAATACAGAACATTTTAGTAGGAATACGAGAATTTGTGAGTCGCTTAAATATTCCGTTTATAATTTCGAGTAAAATAGTTTCATTTTCCAAAATATTTTTTTCGCGGATTCACAAAGGATGAGACTAGAAAGACGACCTAATACTCAGACAATTTGACGATCCCAAGGTTAATTTAAGTCTTCTGCCCTGAATATGATCTTTTAATGGCTAATTTAATGATTTAGCAAAAAAAAACAGTCTGGCTGCAGGGAATCGTGAATATCAGAATGACAGTCGTATCTGAAGTATCATCCTTTGAGGATATTTTTTAATAAATCAAATTACCAAACCGCCAAATGTGTTGAATCTACAGAAGAGTTGAACCTCATCTGCGCTCAGGATTGGAGAACCCTCTCTTCCTCTCTCTATAGTTTGCTGGACTCGGAGTTATCTGTTCTCTCTTTATGCTCTTTCTCATACCATCGCCAGGATACAGAGACTAGGACGGTTTATAATCCATAGATACAGGAGATACGGGGATATAGGAATACAGAGATACAGGGGATACAAAAGTTAGGGATACAGGAGATCCAAGAAATATATACAAGCGATACAAGAGATACAGGAATAAAGGGGATACAAAAATGCCTTTTTTTGTGTTTTAAATATTATCAGAGATATGAAGTTTTTCCATCAGATCTTAGTTTATTGAATACAACAAAAATTAATGAATTCTCCAAAATATTGAAAGCACAAAATGGAAAAAAGACACACCACATTTTGGAAATGCAAGGGCTAGAGTTATTTTGTATCAGAACAATTCTATAAACATACTTCATAAATTAAGTTTATGAATAAAATGCTGCAAGTTATTTAATGGATCATTGACGATCTTTACGTCATGTTTCGTTTACTTCTGTTCCAACTGTATTTTTTTTGACTCTGCATTAAGCTCTGTCTACGTCGTCATTCGTGTTATCATCGGTGAGGGTTAGAACCTGTTATCATCGGTGAGGGTTAGAACCTGTTGGTTAGAACCTGTTATCATCGGTGAGGGATAGAACCTGTTATCATCGGTGAGGGTTAGAACCTGTTATCATCGGTGAGGGTTAGAACCTGTTTTCATCGGTGAGGGTTAGAACCTGTTATCATCGGTGAGGGTTAGAACCTGTTTTCACACCTGTAAGAATTGCTCTTAATCCCTTCTTATCTGCTGGCTGTATCTCTGGACTTTCTGGTTGATTTTTGGAACCAGATTAACTTTCTGGCTGTGCCTGTCTAACAACGCATTAGTTCTAGATACAGCTGTGGATTTTTCGTACGCGTCTGTGGTTCTTGCTACAATAATTTAACTTATTGGATTTATAGAAAAGCTCTTCCTTTCATTGTCCCTGCTTGTTTTACATATCTTCAGTTTGAATTTTCTTATTTTTCCTTTTCTGTCAACCTTCATTTTCTTGTTGATTTTTCTCTCCTTTACCAACTTCCTTGGTTCTGTAAGTTCTCTTCTTTTATCTTGTTTTTCTTCTTATCTCTTAGTCTTAATTCCTTTCTTCCGACCTTGCTTCCACTATAGGTATTCGTTTTTCTGTATCTTTCGACCTTCCTTCCACTCTAGGTATTTGTTTTTCTGTATCTTCCTGACTTGTCTCCACTCTAGGTATTTGTTTTTCTGTATCTTTCGACCTTGTCTCCACTCTATAGGTATTTGTTTTTCTGTATCTTCCTGACTTGTCTCCACTCTAGGTATTTGTTTTTCTGTATCTTTCGACCTTGTTTCCACTCTAGGTATTTGTTTTTCTTTATCTTCTGTCTTGTTTCCACTCTAGGAATTTGTTTTTCTGTATCTTTCGACCTTGTTTCCACTCTAGGTATTTGTTTTTCTGTATCTTCCGAACTTGCTTCCACTCTAGGTATGTTTTTCTTTGTTATACTCAACATATTTATCGTCATGTAACGTTCTTGTTCTTGATCTTGGTGCTTCTCCTGGTCTTGATGTTTTTATTAATAGGTTTTAGCTGATATTTTTGTCCCCAGATCCGGTTCCGTGCAGATCCGCATTTTTTTACGGATCTGAATCCTATACACACACCCCTAGAAACACTTATAGGTATTAAAAAAATGACCTAGGCAATACCGTCAATGTAGCGTCATCATTTGTGTACACACTCTTGTAAATATAACACTTTTTTGTTAAAAAGTCGTAGGGAGTATAAATTTAAAAAATATACTTGTTAAAGGGAGAGACCGGCTTTGTAACATATTTAAACTGAGAATGCAGTATTGCAGAGAAACATTTTAGGATTCATTTGATACCAATGAGACATTTTTACGGTGTGCAATTTATAATTAAGATCGTAAAGTCGTTTGTAATATTTCACAAGTTGTTTCAGCCAGCAGAACAAACAAAGCCATATTTCTCTTAATCTCTAAAAGCTTACTGACTGATCTGGCACGGGAAACACCAGGAGGGTCAGTAATTCTACCAGAAGCACCAGGAGTTCAACCAGAAGCACCAGGAGTTCTACCAGAAGCACCAGCAGTTCTACAAGTAGCACCAGGAGTTCTACAAGAAGCACCAGGAGTTCTTCCAAGAAGTTTCAGGACAGCTACCAGAAGCGTTCGGTAAACTTCTACAGAATTGTCAGGACAGCTACCAGAAGCATCAGGACAGCTACAAGAGGTATCAGGACAGCTACAAGAAGTATCAGGACTGCTGCTAGACAAATTAAGACAGCTACCATAAGTATCAGGACAGCTACAAGAAATATCAGGACAGAGCTGCTAGAAGCATCAGGACTTCTGCTAAAAAAATTCCGAAAATTTATTAATGACATAAAGTCAACAAGGTATATAGAGTTATGATGTACGATAATCCTTTACTTATTGTAAAGGCCATGTACTCCACTTCCAAAGGTCTATCTGGAAATCATTTTTTTTCACGTAATTTCAACTGGTCCTCTATAAGGTAGATTAAGAATGGCACTCTATATTTTCTAGGATTAATTCTAATTAATTTTTCTTGGCAGTAATTAAAAAAAATATAGGACAATTACAGGGTGATTCAAATAAATAGAATATTTTGATAAAACCTCAACACTAAAATGGAAGCAAAATACTGTACTGGAAGGAAGGGTTAGAATTTTAAAGTTTAGGAGGGGGGGGGGGGGCACGTTATAAATATGTATGCATCGGGAGGGGACAGAAAGTGATAAAGGTAAAAAATCCCCCCTGGAAGTTTTACAGGAAATTTGGAAAATTGTCTGTCAGTATTTTGAATCTGTTCTTAAAAATCATAATTAAATGGCTATAAGGTGCCTGCTCTCCCCCTCATTTTCTAGGGGGGTTGTCCTCCTCTCCCCCCCCACACCTTAAGCCGCCTCTGGCAATACTTCATTGTCCCTTAAAGGTTCTTATAAACGATGGTACTATTGAAAATCAAAACCTCCCAATACATCTTGTACTGCATATTTGATGTTTATACTGTATTATTAGGCCATAACCTCTTAATATCCTATATCATAATCATAATTTTATCATATGCAAATCAAACAAATTATTATGAAGGCGCAACGCACCTTTCAACCTTTCTCTCATCATCTCTCTAAAATGAAGGACAAGCATAATTCATAAATTCAGATAATTTTTGGACAGAAAATTAAAGGTTATATTTTCGGTTAGAATAGATATGATATAAAAAATGAGAATATCTCAAGAAATATTTTTGATAAAAATAGTTTTTCTTAGTCCACATTATTTTCTTCGTCTAAAAGATAATGTTTATTTTTGGTTGGCTGAATTTTTGGTCAAAAAATGGCTGTAATTTTATCCTTGTAAATGAATGCGCTATTTTTTCCTCATTTATCAGTTCTAAGTCCTGTTATAGTGTTAATTGTTAAAAATAAATATTATTTGCGTGGATTCTTATGAATTCCTTAAAATGAAAAACATATTTTCTAATAATTTCTAGATACTAATTCCATTTTGACTTCTTCAAACTCTGTTCTGTAAAAAAGGAATAAAACGCTGTAAAGTTGAAAACTATTATTTCCCTTAATCTCTTTCCTTTCCTTCAATGACGGGCAACATGAGAAATGATCTATTTGACTATAATACTGCAACTATATTCATATTTATATAACAAAAGATATGAATTATCAGCACACACATGTGTATAAACATATAACAGTAGCGAGGGGTAATTCAAAATTAATAAATTATCATTGCAACATCCGGAAATGATTGTTTACGAACCTAAACACAGAATACTCAAACAAAAAGTTGAAAATAAATAATGTTTGTTAATTACAGTAGATTTTAATAAATATTTTGAACTGTTAATTAAATTTAGTTTTCAAATTTGATTAATCCTAAATTTCTAAATTTTGTAAAAAGTTCAAAGCTAAATAAGAATCCGTTTAATTGAAATAGAAAATTGTGTGAAATAAAAATAATTCTCTTAATAAAAGGCGACACAGAGCGACGAGCAGATGTTAGTCAAGCCAGTTTAAATAAAAAAATTACTAAGTACTAAGGCCATTCGAAATTTTTAAAATATGACCCATGTCGCCTTGAATAAATCTGGTTTGATTTCTAAATAAATAAATACATAGAGTGGGTACTTTACCACGAAGAGAAACGTAGATAATAAGATGGGGTAAGAATAATGGATATATTTACAATTGAGACAAATTGTTTACATGTTTCTTGTTACATATTCTAATTAAGATATGTTAGATAAACCCAGACTAGAAAATCTAGTTTAACGTATATGGACTATCATTATTATTTCAAGTGACCTTCCAAAGGGGGAATGTCAGATTCACAACTGTAACCTTGAAACCTTAATTTAATCAATAATGTGAAAAATACCGTCGATTTTCTGGTTTTTAATTCTGATAATTTTTCCACCGTTTCTGAAGCAAACAACAACAAAAAGATCATAACTTATGCTTGATCAGACAAAGCTTTTAAGGTTACCGTTGCGAATCGGTCATGCCACTTAATCAGTGGATGGCCACTCAAAATTACGTAAATAGTCCCTTTAAAGTAGAAAACTTTGCTAGAACAGTTTTCAGCTAATTGGTTTCACAAGGAATAAATTATGAAGCAAATTGGAAAAATTGTAATTCAAAATAAAGTAATTTATTTGTTCAGAATCAAATCCCCGGTCTGTTGTTTTACTGTTAAAATAATCACATTTTTATATTTTAACTGGTAAAACAGTATTGTGGTACGTTGCAAACTTGCAGTTTTTATTTTGAGAAAATAATTATATTAATAGTAACATTTTTAGGGAAAGTAAGTTATACTAGGCGGTTAATATTTTGTGAAAATGATATTCTTTTATTTAATTGAGATCACAGAAAGATAAGGGACCCACCTCCACTCCCCCCCCCCCCCCNNGTGAGGGGCGCCGCACACGTCTGACTTTCTGTCCGCAATTGACTCAAAAACATTTTGCCGGAAGAAAAATCGAGTGCGGACAGGAAGCGATTTGGATAAGCGCGCTGCCGCAAATCCATGTTTGTAAGTCAATTGCGGTCAGGCAGTCATTCGGGTGCGGCGGACCTTCCGTCCTAGCCTCAGCCCCATTAGGTTTACTAAAAAAGCTCAGGAAATGCGCAAAAAGTGCAGAGTATCAAACAATTTTGAAAGAGTATTTTATACTAGTTGAGAAAAAAATTCTCAGTGTCAAATTAAAAACAGAGTATTAACACTAAAACATATCCACATATTTTGAGAAATAAATAATACCTGTGCAAAATGGCAATCTGACCGACTAATCGATGATTATTTTCTCTTGTAAACTCTGATATTTACAAGAGACATGTGCAAATGTGCAATTCATAGTTACAGAAGTTTTGGTACAGTAAACAATAAGAAAATCATGTAAAATCTAAACCTTTACATGATCATAAAACAAATATCAAGGTTTAAGTTCATTCGAATTCTTTTACGATATTAATTAAAAGTTGAAAATAGTTTTACGCAACTAAGTGAGTACTGATAAAGAAACAGTTTCCTAATCGCAAATTTTGTTTAAATGCAAGAAGAAACCACCCTCAGTTTCGCCTGATTATAAAGCGTATACAAAGGGGAGACATATCTCAATAACAAAGTTCTTGTTGACGTTTGAAAAACGTCAGTAATTAACGTCTTTAAAACTTCGGTAATGAACGTCTTAAAAACATTAGTAATTAACGTCTGTAAAACGTGAGTAATTCACGTCTGTAAAACGTGAGTAATAAACGTTTTAAAAACGCAGTAACTAACGTTTAAAAACGTCAGTAATATAAATCTTAAAAATGTCAATAAATAACGTCTGAACAACGTAATGACTTCTGGTCAATTTGTAGATTCAAGACTCCCGTTCCTCTCCGGAAGGGAGGGAGACTCCTTGTCAGGAAACAGAGTCGTCGTCCTCCATCAGCTGCCGATCTGTTCCAACCTAGATAGAGGAGAAAGATATTTGAAAAGTTTAATAAAAACAAACTTAAAAAAGGGGTTTAGCATTCTTAGAAGTGTTATTAGTTTTTTTCTAAAAACGTTGAAAAACGATTAAAACGGTTATGAACGATTAAGAACGATTAAGAACGGTTATGAACGATTAAGAACGATTAAAACGGTTATGAACGATTAAGAACGAGTAAGAACGGTTCTGAACGATTAAAAACGATTAAGAACGATTAAAACGGTTCTGAAGGATTAAGAAGGATTAAGAAGGGTTCTGAAGGATACCTGTATAAGAGTATTAAACTCTCTCTCCAGTATCTGCCTAGCTCCAGTATTCTGGGTTGGTATCTGTAAGGCTAGAGCCATACTTTGCCATGAGAAGGAACAATCAAGAGCTATCAAACCACCGTGAACCCCGGACTCAACCAAGTTACTCGCATAGTCCTAGATACAAATACTAAGATTAAGTAGTTACCATGATTGTGGATTCTAGACTACCAAACGAAAAGGTATAATTTTTAGAAAGAGAATCATTTTCGAATTTTAACTTAAGACAGATGAGTTAAAAGTAAATTAGTAAACTAGCTTAAGCGTTGCCTAATTAATAAAAATGAAAAAAATGTTAAAAAATTATTTTTGAAGAAAACTAAATTTGCAATTTTTGAAAAAATGTTTAGCCTAAATGAATTTCAAGTGGCCCAAAATGCCAAAAAGGTAATGCCCGATTTACAAAGGTACATCTATAACCTTAACCAAATCAAAAAAGATAATGCCATTTTTCTGACTCAAAAAGTATTTACTTTTGTGACTTTCTCCATTGATTTTTATATACAAGAAATGCGCAAGTCACTTTCGCAGAGAACCCGCAAATAAAAAAAACAGTTTGCGTGAAGGGTCACTTTGATATTACGCTGACAGTCCGTTTGAGAAGATGCATGATTGCAAGGGGTCTGTTTACACTTTAAAATTAATTATACAATTACCTTTAATCCGACCCCAACTACCCATCTCATCACTCTATCTGTGCTCCAAACAATTACATCCTAAACAAAATGATGGTTATAAAGAAAATTTCTAAATTAATATAGCTCCAGGTTTTCTTGAGAATTTCAAAATAATTCTTACGGAATGTATAAAAAGTGAATAAATACTAAAGTGGGCCAAACACATAGATGGATGACGACATTTTATATTTCAATTATTATAGGAAAATATTATCTGTTTGTACGGATTGTACGAATTGTACAGTACTAAATTAACTGGACTACATTTGTTTACAAAATTTCTGTCACACTTCAGTGAAATTACGAAACCTAAAGTTGATGTTAAAACACGAAAGAATTTCATGAACTGTGGCCAATAAATTTAAGTGTAATATGCCTGAATTATAATCATTATGCAATATGCAGAATTGTTGACCGGAAAAACATAATTTCTTGTGATACAAATAAGCTGTTAGAGAGAAATAAACGCCCCAGATATTGAGATCCAGAATCTGCATTAAAAGGGATTATAGATGTGTTTTTTTTAATGTGATTAACATTAGTTGTCTTAAATAGACCTATCTCAGATGAAAAACAGTTTTAATCTCTGAATTTCTACATGATTAGGCAATTGTAATACGCAATTGGAATTTTTCTTAGAGAGGACTACTTTTACAGTCTTCTGTCATCAACTTTTTAATTTTAAACAAACAAACATCATGTATGTTCTATGTACATACAAAATTATAAATATATATATATTTATATTAATTGTTTTTCTTTGTCGTGCAAATCCTGATTTAGGTGATTGTTCTAGTTTTTTATGAAACCATTGTTAAGTCTTCTGAAGTTACTAGTTGAGTTTCAGAAGTAAAATTCGTTGGGTTGAAACTTTTTGAATCGAGTTAAAAGATGTCAAACTAATGAGTAACATGGTAATATCCTAGCTAAGAACTAAAATTAAGTGCATATCAAATTATAATTAATGAAATTTTTTTTCCATCCGGTAGATTTCAAGTTTTTGTAACGACGACATTAATAGTTGTAAACTATTTCCAGTCCCTGAACAAAAAATGGGACCCCAAAAAATAATTTGAAAATTTTACCAAACCAAATAATTGCGTATGGCAACTAGTCGTCTTAATTTTGTCTGTTCCACTGTAGTATTTATTCATGGCCGTTATCATTATTATTATTATTATTTAAACCCAACTTTCTTGTTAACCTCATGGACCAAAGAAATATCTTCCATTTTTTTAATTTAAAATTCATTTTATGTGTCGCCACCCCACTCATAAAACCTTATCTAGGTTCTACTCACGGCTGCTGTCTCATCGCCTCCAACCCTCCAGGATGGCACCACTATATGTCTTTAAATTGTGATCTTTGCATTGTCTATGTCTATAGCTATAGATATGACACAAGAAAGGACAAGAGACATGGACAATGCAAAGATCACAATTTAAAGACATATAGTGGTGCCATCCTGGAGGGTTGGAGGAGATGAGACAGCAGCCGTGAGTAGAACCTAGATAAGGTTCTATGAGTGGGGTGGCGTGTAATTGTATGTAAAATATCTTAATAACTATAAATGTACTTTGAAAGATATATATTTCTCTGGAGATCCATATGAGAAAAACAAACGAAAAAACTCCATGTGTTCATTATACAAATAATTGAAGATGTATAATTTGTATTGTAAAAACAAACGAAAAAACTCCATGTGTTCATTATACAAATAATTGAAGATGTGTAATTTGTATTGTAGACAGATAGATCCCTAGAATATCTAGTTACATTGTCCCGGGAGGAACTAATAAAAAAAAATATCGGTGGAACTAAAGTACGAAGTTACTAATAGATTCTTAAAGTTTTCCCGCCAAAATTATTTTAAAATACTGAAAATATTTTGCTCCGCGCAGACGAATATAAATATTAGAAACCACTGTATGCATCCCTAGATGCAATCAAATATGGCCTGAAAGTGAAGTCAGGGTATCGTTATCATCTGAGTTTGATGCATGAGGCAAATTTTCTTGCTGAGGGTTATATGCTCCTCCTTTTAAAACGAATAATTTGAACTTTTAAAATCTGCAATTAAATTATTATAAACGTCTCGTTGTCTGTTTAAAAAATCTGATCTTTACCTTTATATCTGCCTCAGCTTGTCTCCACCTGTCTGTTATCTGATTCTTACCTTAATATCAGCCTCAGCTTGTCTCCGCCTGTCTGTTAACTGATCCTTAACTTAATATCTGCCTCAGCTTGTCTCCGCCTGTCTGTTAACTGATCCTTACCTTAATATCTGCCTCAGCTTGTCTCCGCCTGTCTGTTAACTGGTCACGATCAAAATTGATGAGTTTCAGGCACTTTATTCCGAACATTAAACTGGTTCTGAAAATAAAACTTCTTGTTAAATAAATTAAAAGTACATTTCTCAACTAATGTTTACGTAAAAAAATATTTTCATTTGATATTAATAACTCGCATTTACACAGTAAATTTATTGAAAGCTCAGCTGTCAATTATTACTATTTAGCCTCTTCTTCCTCTTTAAGCTACAAGGTGTTCCTCTTTGACTCTTCACATTATTTTGCATTATTCATTCGCAAAAAAACTATTTCAACTTAGATTTTTTATTTCACAGATTCGCCAAATTTAGGCATTTCAAAATATGGTCTGCCTTTAATGTGCTTTCCACATTGCCGGAGATAGAAATAATTTCGTTCAAATTTTGAAAATGTCTAGACAAGAGGTATTTTAGTTTCAAATCTTGATGAATTAGTGCCGCAAATGACTTCAAACATCAAAGACAATCTTCCATTCGTCTCTCAACTGTCATGATTTGTAGGATATCCTGAATTTCTCTATCAGAAAAACTACAAAGGATGAGCCTGTGCGGGTTTAGATTTATTGTTCCCTGCAACACGTGTTTCTTTGTCTTAAATGACCTTTTTAAAGGTAAATGACCAAATTTAACCTTTAATTATAAAACTAGGCTTTTAAGGCGCTTCCCACCTGTCTTCTATTACAACATTTTATTGTGGCTTTATCTGTGAACATCTTCTCTTTGTACAGTATAAAACAAAAAAAAACAACTAGTTTGCGCATTTTATAATATTTATCCGCGCATTTTCAAAATTTTACAAAAATTAAAAACTTCTAACACAAAATTTTGATCATTTATAAACCTTCTCTGGGGTCACGTGAGGCTGAGGTCCCACACAAAATTTGTTCGTATTTACCTGTGAAAACTATCAACCAGTTTTAACTGGACTCTCAGATCTTTCTTCGTTAAATGATCCAGCATCCTGAAAATACAAAACCATTAGGAACCAACAGGTTTACCTTCAAAATGTTAGAATGATGATTTTAAACAACTTCTAGAAAATACATCAGACATTTCATTTGCGAACAGTTCTGAAATGAAATTTATTTTAATCTTTTTTTCTTTTTCTAGAAACAAACAATTGATTTTTTATTTAATGAAATTCAAAAATGTGATTTGTTAGCAATTGTTTGCAAATGTGAAAAGCATGAAATAAGTTCCTGTTTTAACCCTATACCAAATGGGGGTGGAGGGTGTCCCTGTCCTCCACCCTTTTTTTGGACATGTCTCAACAAGTTTTGGTATGATGGCACTGCCCTATTTACAAAGGTACCCTTGAAACCTTACTTTGAAAAAATGTGGAAAATATCCTCGTTTTTCTGAATCGAAAAGTGTTTATTTCTCTGATTTTCTCCATTGATTCTTACTAACAAGAAATCCTCAAGTCACTTTCGCAGAGAAACAGCAAATGAAAATGAACAGTTTAAGGAAACAAAAACATGATTATCTATTTCATTCTTGACTAGACAACGAATTCAAGGGTAGCGTAATAAATCGGACATTGTCTTATTTGCATTTTGCATGGAGGGTCACTTGAAATTACGCTTACAGGCCCTTTGAGGGGAATTTGAATATTTTCAGTTTTTCTTAAATAAAATTAAGGAATAAAAAATGTTGACTAAAATTTTAAGATTAATTTTCAGCTAAAACTGGATTCCTTAGATAGTACATATTTATAACTAATCATGGATTTTAAATCTCAAGAGCAAACTAAATCTTTTAAGGAGCTTTACCATTTATATTTTAAAAAATGAATAATTGAAATTTTTTTTATAATCTTACTTGTAATTTATGCTGAAAAAAATTATTGTTGTTGTTTTTGTCTAAAACAGTAAAATAATTTTACAAAAAAGAATATTTAAACATTTAAAGTTTTAAACCTAAAAAAAACGTCCGAAAGCAATTACGGATTTGCATTGTGTGCCCTAATGGAGGGACTAAATAAATATTATTTATTTCAATTTTGTCAAGTCGTTTATTTATTTGTAGGTTAAAATATAAAGAATGATTTTTATACATTATTATTATTATTATTGTTATTATCATTCAACCGACAGTTAAAGTGTGTCCAAATATAGGTCGTGAAATCGACTTTACAGAAAGTTTCAGCCTGATTTTAATTATGTCCGCACAATCAGGGTCCAGTGGCCCAACTANTTGATCTCACTTAAAGAGTTGCATGATCGATTCACATTTGTTCTCTTTAAACCCTTTCAGCAACATTGATCGTTTTTTTCTGTCTCAAAAGTGTCAAATTCTCAAAATCGATTTCTTTTTCTCTGCAAAAAAAAATCTCCTAAACCTGAACACTTAACAGGCGTTTGACGCCCTCCCTCCTCCCAGTTTTTTGTTTCTATCATTCTAATTTTTGAAACTTTCCCCTTGAAATTTTTTAAACTTATAGGAAATGTAATTCAAAGTTTTTTTGCAAAATAATTTTTTTAAATTTATAAGCTTTAAAAAGCCCTTGAAAATTAATATAGAACACGTGACACATATTTTAAACCTCTCTAGTATACTAAAATATTAAAGTTAACCGTAATTTTTTTTCAATGAGCTGGCCTTGGAAAATTGGGCTATGAACAATAACATGCATTGCAACACTTAATATTTTCTCTAAGGCATTATTCTAGAATGTATCAATTTACTGACGAAACCTTTCAAGTTTGTGAATGACTCCCCGAAGATCTCCTACCTTGCGTCCACTAAGCACTCCATGAAGGTAGTCCTGTACTGTGATAAACCCAAGGAAGGTAACCAATCGTTACCAATCCATTCATGGTTCATATCACCGTAGGCCAGGGTAGTTCTACTAGTAGCAGGAGCTGAAGGGGAGGTTAGGGATACCATTTCCTAGAGGACAGAGGACGTATTAGAGGTCATTTTCTAGATAGATGTTTAAAGATGTTAGGGATACCATTTCCTAGAGGATAAATGTATTAGAGGTAATTTTTCAGATAGATGTTTAAAGAGGTAAAGGATACCATTTCCTAGAGGATAGAGGACGTATTAGAGGTCATTTTCTAGATAGATGTTTAAAGAGGTTAGGTATACCATTTCCAAGAGGATAGAGACTAATGTACCAATAAGTTACGACACAAGTCTGTGTGTCCAATTGTCGAAGTACAAACCAATGACATTTGTCTCCGCCCAACTGCAAACTAACAGCCACCTAGGATAGTCCATATCGGTACTACCCTAGTATGAAATAGGTAACATGATTCTTATTATTTACCTGTATTGCAAGGCGTAGTTTAAGTCGATGAAGAGGATTGCTGATACCGATCTCTCTCTGTATCTCAGTATCAGATAAAGCTGACATAATGGCACCAGACTTTACGTTGGCTCGACATGCCGCCACATACCTGTAGTTAGGAATAAAGTGTTCTAAGTTTGTTCGTTTTTTGCATAGAATTTCATTTCGGGGTCACCATTTGGCCTATCGTATGTTTGTCAAATTTTTACCCTGGCAGAAGATTTTTGCAAAAGAACGACACCAAAAACAATGCAAGAACGATGCAAAAACGAACGATAATTATTAGATTGTTTTTCCAATTTTTATTTTTTTTAAGAATAGAGTTATTGCAAGGTTTAATGAAAGCAAACTTTAACATTTATATAATACAGTTTTAAATTGACGATTATTGAATTTTATTGACGATTGACGATTAACAACACTAACTATTCACTATAGCTATATAACTGTGGGAAAGGAAGACGATTAAGATTTTGAATTCAAAATTCAATAAACAGGAAATACAACAACATAACCCCATTTTACTTATTAAGTTTATCTTCAGGCTACTTGTAAAAATATTTGATATTTATCAAGGTCAAATACATACAACATTAAATCAATTTTGTATTCCTATTTCTTAAGTTATATTGATATCCCTGTATATATTATGATAAAAGAATTGGTACTTGTATTATGATAAAAGAATTGGTACTTAAGCTAATGTCACATTGGGTAAAAAAAGTATCGAGCTATTGAAGAACCCCCAATTTTCCTAACACATCTTTTAATTTTGAGCAAACTCTAATTTTTCTTAAAACGATTTAATCTTTTAAATCCCAAAATTCTCAACTTTCAATGTGGGGTTAACTATGTTTTATGAAAAAAGATTATGATTAGAATTACGGCGACAATATTAAAACAAATTCAGGGGAAAACCACCAATATGGAATAATTCATCAATTCTATATTTACTGAAAAAAAATGAATAAATAAATAAATAAAAAAATTATAAACCTTCGTCCTTTATTCCGTAGAAATATTAAGAACTTACCATGCAGGCATCCCAACCCATAGTTCAAGCCAGGCCACAATAGTTGGTCCATTCCATAATGCAAACGGTGTGCCAGCCTTCATTGCCTCTTCAAGAAGCTCATGCCTGTTTAAATAAGATTAAAATTATATAATGTATAATAAAATCAAGAATATTGTCATTTTCAGTCAACATTTTGAAGTAACATTCAAGAATTTAATGTTTACTCACTTTTTCTTTTTTCTTCTGTCAAAGTCTCCCTTGCCCGCCAAACCTCCAAGGCCACCCATACTGTCACTTTGAACCATCTCTGACTCTCCCATATAGGTGGCATGACCTCCTGCAGACATTGGGGCAGTTACAAACCCTCCACCACGGTTCTTCAAACCTTTATCTTTCTTCCCAAAGATCCGTCCGAGCGATGACTTGATTCCTTTTTTCTTCGCAGCAGCCACAGCACGCTCTTGAGCAGCCAGCTGGGATATATGCAAGGAATCCTAGAACAAATATCAGCAATTCAGATTTATCCTACTACACATCTGAAGCAGAGTGAGGAATGGTTTATGTAGTGCTTAGGATCCAATTTAATTTTGATGCGGATTCAGATCCTAGATCCGCACTGGAAAAAAATGGATCCGGATCCGGTTCCAGGTTATTTCATTGAGATTTACTGAATTATTTTTTAACAAAGCAGAATTTTCAAAGTTTGTCTTATTTTTTTCTTTTTTTTATGCTAAAACTTGATGAACTATTTCGAAATTTCTCTTTTTTCAATCGTTCAGAGTTGGGTTTTAAGAGTAAAAAAGTTTTTTTTTCAGTTTTTGGTTGATATTTAACCCCTTGGATCCGGATCCGTGGATCCACATATTTTAGCGTATCCGGATCCAGGAAGCAAACATCTTGCGGATCCAACGGATCCGGATCCTAAGCACTGTTTTAAAGTTATATTAAAGGGAGTATCTACATAATTTCAATCGACTCTCAATTAAAAAGCTACGTAATGGTGATCTTCTGTCTTGATATTCTTTCTTCTCTACAGGGGGATTAAAAAACCGTTATCATCGACGTTTTGGACAAAATTTTCAAAATTATTGTTTAGTTCGATTTTAGGCATAAAAAATGTGATAAAAAATTCAAAGCTCAAAAATAATTTCAGAACGTTGAAAATTTTTTGCCAAATTTTTGAAAAAACAATTTTTTTTAAAGCTGTTGAAAAAATGTTGATTCTCTTGTTTTCCAAAATTTAATAAAAAATTCATCAAAGATTAAATGTGATATAAAAAAAACGGAAGCAAATTATTCGCATTTTTGAAGTCATAACAGTTCTAAGGTTATAATTTGATAGCATTTAAGTTTCAGATTTTCATTCTATAGTGATTTTTTATGAAATTTTGTAAAACAATAGAAAAAACATTTTCACAAAAATTTTTCAAGAAAATTTCATTTTTATTTTAAAATTGGGATTGCAGATTTTTCAAAAATGTTCAAAGAATATTTTCGATTTTTTATCACATTTATTTATTTTATGAATAAAATCCGAGCAAAACTAAATAAAACTTGTCTAAAACACCGAAAAGACCGAGTTTTTTACTCACCCTGTATGTGTGTACTGTATATAGTATATACCACTCTTTAATAAAAAGTCAGTTCAAATTACATCAACAGATCCTTTCAGTAAAATAAATATTTCTTTCGTGGTTCCGGGTTGGAAATGTTTAGAAGGGGGTAGAATTCTAATTTCTGATACCTGACTAGAAGCTGCTGAGGATAAAGGGGAAGGGGTAGAATGAGAACTTTCCTCCAAACTGGATCTAAGAGAACAAATTGTTAATTAATAAGTAGTTATTAAGATGCAGACAGCAGGATAAATGTCTTCAGTTTTCACAAACATTTGAGGTACAAAATTAGATTTTACATGTGCCCTTACACTGTACACAAGGTCCAGTGTTTACTGTACTTTAATACCTCAAAATAAATCTTCTTTACTCATTCAAATAACCAGACGGAAAATGGAACTTGAGCAGGAAAAATAATTTTTGATTATGCATCAATAATATTTTGTTCCCTCAAAAGGTAAATTTATTCAAGTATACAAATTCCTGTATTTAAAATTACACAAAACTTCAAATATTTTAGTTCCAATTTTGAATGGAGTGTTCGCGAAAAATAAAAGGGGGCATAGGCTGATATCGGTGATATCGAATTGAAATCTATATCAATTGCTCCTAATTTTACTTTTATCTGTTGCGTTTCTAGGAGAAAATAGTTAAAACGTCTTATACTCAAAAGCGTAGTGTCACCAGGAAAATCCCTGAACTACCTAGCAGCCAATTAATCGTTGTTTAAAGTTATCATACAGAAACAAATAAAAATACTTTATACGAATACATTGAATTAAATTCTACATTATGGGTTGTAATAACTAAATAGTTAATTTAAATTTAATTGAATTATTTACGTTCGAAGTGTAATAATGCAATTCAGTGACGCTTTTGAGTATAATACGTTTTAACCATTTTCTTTTATATGTGCAACAGATAAAATTAAAATTAGTAGCAATCAATATAGAATTTAATTCTATACCAGCCTATAGCCCCTTTCCATTTTTCGCGAAATTTTTAACGTAATAATTAAAATTTTAGATGTGTGCCAGCTTTGAGTTTCAAGAATACTGGCGTGGCAACTAAAATTAATAAACTGTACACAACAATAGCAAACAAAACAGAGGAAAAGGTGGCAGGTGTCAGATTCTTATAATTTGGTTATCATGCATTAAATTGAGATTAATTAAAGGGAGTGTTCGCGAAAAATTAAAGGGGGTATAGGCTTAATGCGATAAATAAGCGCTTTTGATCGCGTAGCGCCCATACAAATTGAGGAAGTTGGAACATATGACTTGGATCGTAAAAAAATCAAATTAATATCAAACAAATCATTCAGACATTACAACCTATAGTCATCGATTATCTTTCGCCACATTTATATATAGTTGATTTTTCATAATATGTTTTAATTGTTATGATCTGAGAGTTACTTATAAAAACTTTATTCCTGTTTCGAGGATTTTTGGTAATGAAGACGACATTTTCATATTTTCCAGGAATGTTCGAAAACAAGTTGTAAGCTAAATATTATTTTAAAAAATCAAATCAAATCATATTATGAAATATCAAATATATACAAATGTGGCGAAAGATAATCGATGACCATAGGTTGTAATATCTGAATGATTTCTTTGATATTAATTTGGTTTTTTTACGGTCTAAGTCATATGTTCCAACTTACTCAATTTGTATGGGCGCTACGCTCTTCGGTATGTGACATCTTTAACAATTTTCTCCTTATAGACGCAACAGCTAGAAGTAAGATTAGTAGCGATCAAAAGCGCTTTTTTATCGCATAAAGCCTCTAACCCCTTTCATTTTTCGCTAACACTCCCTTAAAGTCTTCACTTAAACTGTCTGTATTTTCTTCAAAGCATTGTTACCATAATTAATACTTAATAATTGGGGGTACATCACGTTAAAATTAATCAAAATTTGCCTGCGCTAGATAAAAAAGAATGAAAGTAGTTGAGTCGCTGCCACAAGCTCAAACTTTCTAATCTCTATATCTTTGCGACCTGTTGGTGTAAACCTTAAATTTTTCAACCTAATATTATTTGATCTAACAGGATTCATAGTATGAAATATCTTAAGTCTACACCAATGGGGTGTTAAGATATAAATCGGAATTAAAAAATCAGAATTTGGTGCTTAGACTCAATTACTTTTATCACAAATTTAAATCCTCCATAAATGGCCAAAGACAGTTTTAAAGAGTTTTTTTTGGCCACTGAAGAAGAATATCTAGCATAAGGGTTGATCAAAAAGTAATGCATACCAGAGAAGCCACATTAAACTTATCAGTTCAGAGTTTGGGAGATCTGTCTGATCGTCTGTCAGTTGCGTGCATTGCTTTAAAGAAAGAAGGGTAGTAGATTGTGCTTGCATGCTTTTTCAAACTAGTTTTCTGAGTTTAAGTTTATATTGACACCTGGCTGTTAAAGGTTTATTAAAAACCATCCAAACTAGTTTGAAGAACAAAATAAGGTGCAAAAAAGGTTGAGTTCACTGAGAAGAATAAACATTTCTGAAATTAGACTTTGAAGGGACGCAAAGTCATATTTCTTAAAGTAGGCCATATTTAAAAAAAGCGAAAACATATTTTGTGCCCAATTGTTCCGAGTGCATAAGGATGTGACACAATATAACAAGACATATAAAATAATGTGTTTTAGGGGTGTCTGGATGCTGCCACCTTATATGGTCATTAATGACTGCCGGTGTGGTACGGGAAGACAGAAAGCCACCATCTCCCGAGGGAGAGATGGGGATAAACCCTCCCTCAAACCCTGGTGATAGGGCTGTGGGAGTCTCACTACCACATAATGAGGATACAGGGGTTATGGTACCCGCAGGACTTGCCATAGATAAAGGAGTCCGCCTGTTATAAATATAATAAGTGGTTTCTATAGGTTTAGTGTGGGCATATATTAGCGCTGGATTAAGTCAATTGCTTAAATCTGCAATGTTTACTCCATGCATAGTTATGAGTAAAATAAATAATACAGAAATTTAAAGTTACATTTTATCCCAATGCACAAAAGAGGGAGTGGGAAATTTTCATCTGAATCCACTTTTCTTTTGGCAACAGACTCGTTTATTTATATAATAATTTTTTTATTTGATTTTCTGAGCAAGTTATTTTTCAAAACACCTTGAAATAATTTCTTTAGTTTTTGTTAAAATTTAATATACATTCCCCGGTAATGAGAACTTTTGAATTCTAAGATAAGATAAGTCAGTTTCTTTTCGGTACATGTCAAAAAGTTAGTTTAAAAAACTTTTGCCGCTAAAAAAATTTACAAATTTTGTCAATAACTTCTCTTCTGTTATATAGAAGTATGTAAATTTAGAAACATGAAAAAAGTTTAGAGATGATGAAAAAAGTTGTGAAAACAAATTAGAAATAAAAAAGTTTGCATTGTAGTTTTCGGTTTTCTGAATCCAAATCTGAATTTATTGAATCTGTTTTCTGTACAGTTCCTTAGATCTTAAATTCTAATCTGGGGCAAGAAATAACCCCAGCAATTTTGTTTGATGATGATGATGATATATCTATAATAATACAACAACCACCAGGAATACAACATCAAAAACTGTGACTGACAAAAATATAACTAAATGTTTTGAATAAATGTTAACGTCTTTTGTTGATAAAAGTAATCAGAAAAAAATATGTGAAATTTATACTTAAAAAATCACAGTACCAGGTTTGGTATTGGGTCACAATAAATTAAATTCATTGGATTTGGTTTCTCATCAGAATTAAATAGATCAAATTAAATTTGTTGCAAAAAACTTTCTAAAAAATATCAAAATTTTAGAGTTTGGAGAAATCTGACAAATTAAATTACTTAAAGGGATGACATCTCTAGGTTCTATTAAAAGTTTTAGTATTTTTATGCTACAATTTCAGACTTTAAAAAATAAAGTAATCACAACCAAAGATCATATAAAAAAAATAAAAGTTTTTACATCCTAATTTATGTACAAATTAAATATAATTTTTTTTTCATACATTCTACTTTTTTTGAAACGATAAGTGAAATCTAGACGATATTCTTATTATTCTCAAATCAAATGGAAAATCATTTTAAGCTTGTTCAATAAATGAATTCTTTTTATTCAATTGACAAAATTCTTCTTAATAAAATTCTATTTACCGTCTAAGCTCTTCTTGACTAGCTGATAACTGTGCCAACCTGAGTGACCTAAACAAAACTTAATAAATAAAAAAAAAAAAAATTTAAAAACTTATCAAAAAAGTATTGTTCAGCAAAAAAGTGAAAGGATAACATTTTAAGCAGCAAAGGAGCAAACAAACAAGTTGATGTTTTTTATAAAATGATAATAAGCACATTACCAATTTAATAAATATGGATGAAAAACTCTGAAAAAAAAACAAGATAAAAAATCTATTAAGATGTCTCAATTCTAGAAAATTGCCCTACTTTCCCAAAGTCGAGATTGTTGTTTGAGTTAGCAAATAGGAGATATCAGGGGTCTATATATTTTTACAAATTACCCCCCCCCCTTCCCTTTTTTGGGTGAAAATTAAAATTGAGCATTAGGTTTTTTTCCTTTTACATACTTTTTACCAAAAATGTTATCAATTTTCCCAATTCAGCGAATAAAACCTCTAAAAAAAGTGGGCTCTGCGCAACATACCAAACTTCTGGGAGAAAAGTTTTCAAAAGGGGGTGGGAATAATTTTTCAAGAAATTATACACCCTTGGAGTCTGGATGATCACAAACATACAAAAAATTCTTATTTTTAATTATGAGAATTTCTAAGTTCTAACGGAAGACGAAATTTACATGGGTCTTTAGTCTATTTCTTCTAGTCTTTACTTTCTAAAAGAAATCTTTCCATGCAATTACTTCCAAACCAAATAAAACCTTATGGCCCAACCTGTCGTCGTTGTCTTAGTCTGTTCCATTTTAGCATTTAGGCGTCTAAGGGTAAACAATCAAGGGGGGTTAAGAACCAACTAAAGTGCTAAAGCTACAGATACCGAAGTTTTACTCTGTGGTGTATAGTGTAAAGGGAGGAGCTTACCCGTACCTAGGAGTGGGTGGAGATCCTTCCATCATTCTTCTCTGCTTCTCCGCCTCTTCTCTATTAAACTCTTGACTAGGCGTGGCCAGATGCATCTAAGTATAACACATAATTTGGATTGGCTCTGTACAACTTATCACCCAGCAAGAGGACTGCAGTGCAAACCCCAGAAATTAACACTGATAACGAAGACGACATGCATATTATTACTTAATCATTTAAGTTGTAGTATACGTTCATTAAACTTCAAATTTTAAATAAACTTCTTTGTACACTATATTTTTCTTCTTCTTCTTCAAACTTTTATTGAAAAAACACAACGTAAATATCTTTATAAAAAAATCACAGGGTTAACAAGTGGCTTTTCGCTATATATATATACTCTCTACTTGCTCAGAAATATATAAAATTGAGATCTTAAGTATCGACAGCTCCGTTATGAAAGACATACTTAGTGTTGAGCAGCAATCTTGACACAAAAATTTAGACTTTGTAAAGTACTTTTCGTACTTTACTGTTAAATACAAGAGAGAAACACAAATGCAGACAAAATTAAAAAGATATAACACTATATTCAAGTATATAGTTCATCACCTTTCTTTATTAGAGTAAATTAAGTTGAAAATCTACACTTCAGATATATTTATTTATTCAATATGGTGTTCATACGCTTGAACTAACGTCATGGACACTATTGATCTTTTGATAATTGGAAGAGTGGTAACATGAACAACTCAAGATTCTTCCTGTTGGAAATAATAATCCCAAATATGAATACTTTATGAACGGAATTAAGTTATCTGTGGTCAAAATAGAGAAGGATATTGGAGTGAAAGTGTCACATGATTTAAAACCCTCAATCCAGTGCCTAGAAGCTGCTAAAACAGCAAACTATATGCTTGGAAAAATTTCACGTGCATTCCATTTCAGAGATCGGCATGTTTTCCTGAACTTGTATTAACAATATGCAAGATACCATTTTCTGTCTCAGCGTGGTGTCCCTGGACAGCTGCAGACAAAGATGTACTAGAGCGGGTACAACGTAGAGCTGTTAATATGATATCTGGACTGTCTGGTAGAAATTATGAAGATAAACTAAAAGAACTGAGACTTGAATCCCTGGAGAAAAGAAGAATCTATATTGACATGGTACACACATTTAAGATTATCCATGGTTTTGATGATGTTAGGAGTGAAACATGGTTTAACACAGTCGGGTCAGGAGAACATAAACTAACTCGTCTAACTGCAGATCCCCTAAATCTCCTCGCGATCTAGACTGGAATTAAGAGCTAATTATTTTAGTCAAAGAGTAGTGAATTTATGGAACAGTTTGCCAGGAGAAGTTAAAAATGCTAGAAATCCTAAAATGTTTTAAAACATTTACCAACGATATGCTGGAGACAGAGTAAAAATAGTGATAAAAATAGTTACTCAGTGAATCTATAGACTCGCAGATATTCCCAATATACCCCTAATTAGGGTCTAGACTCAACAGTACCCATAATTTGAAGTGTAACTTACTGTGTGGTATTTGTGTGCGTAAGGATCACCGCGTCCTTGTAGCATAGGGGTCTAAACAAGTTTACAATTATAAATTGTGTTTGATTTTTCTAACTGTGTTTTTTTAATAGAATCCATTTTCAAGAATAAAAGAATAAATTCTCAACAACTAATTTAAGAAACTAATATTTAATCCCCGCTGTAATAATTTTAGCTTTAAAAGATTAATTAATTAAAGTTTCTATGAAAAGTTTTTTTTCTTTTATGAAAAAAACATAAAATAAATTTGTAATCCCTATATCTTTACAACCCGATGGTGTATATCTTTAATATTTCAAACTATGTGTTCTGTTAGATCAAAAAGTTTAAGTTTGAAATTTGAAAAGTTTAGAAAAAATATGCAGGGATTAGAAAATTAGAGTTTGTGGCTAAAACTGATTTCCTTTGGATCAGAATTCACAATTCACATACCTTGGGTGTGGTTCTCCCTGATAATGTAGGAGAAGAGAGGGGATCATACATTGGTTGTAGACGAGATCTGGGGGGAGGTTGAGGGGGTACACCTAGATGGTGGGAAGGAATACCACTCAGCCCTGCCCAGGAGGTGGAGGAGGGACCTCCTACACTACCCTGCTGCAGCAGCATATGCATATCCTGAATGTTAAAATGTTTGCTTCAAAATTAATTTGACCTATTCCCAACCTTTACACTGTACAATCTAAACTTTAGACTCTAGTTCCTACTGTACAATTCCCACTCTAGATTCTAGTTTCTACCTGTACACTTCCTACTCTAGACTTTAGTTCCTACCTATACACTTCCTACTCTACTCTAGTTCCAACCTATACACTTCCTACTCTACTCTAGTTCCAACATGTACACTTCCTACTCTACTCTAGTTCCTACTGTACACTTCTTACTCTAGATTCTAGTTTCTACCTGTACACTTCCTACTCTAGACTTTAGTTCCTTCCTGTACACTTCCTACTCTAGACTCTAGTTCCTACTGTACACTTCCTACTCTAGACTTCAGTTCCTACCTGTAAACTTCCTACTCGACTCTAGTTCCAACCTTTACACTTCCTACTCTAGACTCTTGTTTCTACCTGTACACTTCCTACTCTACTCTAGTTCCTACCTGTACACTTCCTACTCGACTCTAGTTCCAACCTTTACACTTCCTACTCTAGACTCTTGTTTCTACCTGTACACTTCCTACTCTACTCTAGTTCCTACCTGTACACTTCCTACTCTACTCTAGTTCCTACCTGTACACTTTATACTCTACTCTAGTTCCTACCTGTACACTTCCTACTCTACTCTAGTTCCTACCTATACACTTCCTACTTTACTCTAGTTCCTACCTGTACACTTCCTACACTAGACTCTAGTTCCTACCTGTACACTTCCTACTCTTCTATAGTTCCTACCTGTACACTTCCTACTCTAGACTCTAGTTCCTCTGCCCTCTGTTCTGTGGATTGCTTCTCCTCCTGAATTAACCGGATCTCGTTGTTAATAGCATCCAGCTGCTCCTAAAATTGAACACAAACTTAGAAATCAAGACGCTTCATTCCCATTAATAATGAAATTCAAAACATAACTATGACATGCTAGACAACAAATAAATGTTCACCCAATAAATAAATAAAACAATATCCCTGTCATTCATTGACATGAAAATTTTTTTTCTCTGAGACAAAATGATTTTTTGATAAAATACATTTTCTTGGAAAAACTAATATATATTACTTTTCATCTTTATGTTAAGAGCTCAAGTAGGGGAGAAAAAATACAATTGTAAACGGGAGCATTTGATTTTTTTAATCTTTGAAACCTGTCTCAAAATACAATTATGTTTCTAGGAATTACATTAATTTTCCATGAGGGTAAAAATTCTGCAAATCTCACAAAACAAAAAGTTTTTTAGTGTTAGTTTTGTAAACTGATTATGTTACATTTTACTGGTTTTTGTTTTTTTTCTATATATGTTTTGTTCTGAATTTTGTTCTTATTAGATTTTTTATATAAAACATGTTCCATTTCATTCTTACAGTCCCGAAAGTGCAAAATGACACAGCAAGTGTATTTTACTTCCCAAAAAGTACACCCCCCCCCCGGTCCCATCGGGATCAGAGATACTATTTAGATCCCTTGATCTCGATATCCACTGAGGGCACTTTAAAATTTGAGGAAAATACTTGATCCCACAATGAAAGTTATCCCCGTTGTGTATGGCGAAGAATAAAATTAATCCGTGAATCTGCTTGATTGCAAGGTTCCCAACACAAAACTTGACAATTAGGTAAAACTAGCTGAAGGGCCCGCAGCGTTGCCCGTAAAAAAAGCTAAAAAAATGAAAATAAAATTTCTAATTTTGTATCGCCTATAACACTCCCCGGACACCCCTGATTGTCCACAAAAATGTCAGCCCAATCGGTCTAGCCGTTTGGCCAGCTATACACAACAAATATATATAAGAATGTCTTCTTCTACTATATAGATAAGTTTGAAAAATGTTAACAAATGAAAAGAATAGGTAAATATATGCGCAGCCTAAAAGAATGTAAGACTTATTATTCAACATCTCCAATTGGTATCCCGATACAATGTTTACTGTACTTTACTGTATGATGTAGACCAGAGTGTTGAGATTTGACTGTACAATGAGTACATTGTACAATATGGAATGTACGCTGTACAATATGGAGTGTACGCTGTACAATATGGAGTGTAACTGTACAATATGGAATGTACCCTGTACAATATGGAATATACACTGTACAATATGAAGTGTACACTGTACAATATGGAATGTTCACTGAACAATATGGAATGTACATTGAACAATATGGAGTGTACACTGTACAATATGGAATGTACATTGTACAATATTAAGTGTACACTGTACAATATGGAATGTACACTATACAGTATGAAATGTACACTGTACAATGTGGAATGAAAACTATAACATGGAATGTACACTGTACAACATGGAATGTGCACTGTACAATATGGAATGTGCACTGTACAATATGGAATGTACACTGTACAATATGGAATGTACATTGTACAATATGGAATGTGCACTATACAATATGGAATGTACATTGTACAATATGGAATGTATACTGTACAATATGGAATGTAAACTGTACAATATGGAATTTGCACTGTACAATATGGAATGTACATTGTACAATATGGAATGTACATTGTACAATATAGAATGTACACTGTATATAATGGAATGTACACTGTAACATATGGAATATGCATTGTGCACTTTACAATATGGAATGTGTATTGTGCACTGTACAATATGGAATGTGCACTATACAATATGGAATGTGCACTGTACAAGATGGAATGAACACTGTACAGTATGGAATGTGCACTGAACAGTGAACAGTATGGAATGTACACTGAACAATAAGGAATTTACTATGTACATTGTACAATTTTCTATTACTAATATGCTACCTGTAACATACACGCCAAGGTCTGTGCATCTGTCTGTCCCCCTGGGGACAGCAAATCTGTCATCACAGACTCACTGTCCTCCGGGTCCCCGTCCATGTTGTCGTATCCCCAGCTGTCCTCGAGGTTTTTCATGTTTAATGAGGTTCCCCTCGGCATGCTCCCCAGTCTACTAGATGATTCACCACGGAGACTCTCATCTAAACAAAGTAAAATTCATTTTGGTGATTTTTATTTAATTATAAAGTTTTATAGCTTTCTCACTCCACAAAATCCTGAGAATTTGAATTATTCTTTTTAAAATGTTGACTCTGACAGAAGATTGAGAAAAATTCTTTAAGAACCCCCCCCCCCCCCCCGTCCTTCTCTTTTGAATATTCAGTTTCAGTGATACTATATACAGAGCGTCCCATATCATATAAGATTATCTCCAAGCTTTTAAAAAACCTAACATTTTTTGCAAGTAAACATTTGTTAGCCATAATCAATTTTTCAAAATTATTTGAACTTCTTAAATTTTCTGATTAGTCCCAAAAATCGTTATTGTGCCCCATTGACGATCTATTATGATATGGGACCCCCTGTATCTTAAATTAACCTAACTTGTACTATTGTGTACATTTACTCATAGGAGGGGGTTGGGGTCCGGAATTGTTATTGTATTTTTTTCTGTTCAAGTCTGTATGCATCTTTTGCTAAGGCTTTCAGGGAGCTTCGCACTCCTTTCCTAGTAACAAATTTGACCGTTGCTATTAAAACTGTCATTGTTCTATGTAAGTGGTATTTCGCAGATTTCCCTAATTAAATTTGCGCATTTACAAATATAATAAATTTTGAAATTTCCCCTGGCAAAATTTGTCATCTTAAACCATCCACAAACCTTCCCTGTTGTCATGAGAGTTTGGTCTGCTCGGCTCCGCTGTTTTAACGTTTATTGGATACAAACGCACAAACGGAGCTCAGCAAAATATATTCAAAACTTGTTAAACTTCGTAGATTTGTGTAGAGCCATATGAAACCCAATCACGGGCAGCCGTAGTACGTTTGAATTTCCGAGCCGGGTCAACCTTTCCGGTCTGTTTGTACTGAACCGCCCGGACATTAGGTAAATAAAGCAGACATTTAAGAGGACTAGCCGGTGCAACAAGGTTGACGAGGTCAGACTTTAGATTGAATTTACTTTTACTAAAGGGTCAGAAGTGCGTGCAACAATCCTTAAATGTTGAAAACGGCTTTTCTTAAGGGTTTTCCAACTAACAAGGAATTATTTGTGGTATATAAAGGCTTCATTGTCATTCATCTTCTCATTCATCCTTATACCCATCCTCTCGTTCATCCATTCTTCATTCGTTAATTCATCCATTTTTTCATTAATCTATTTCCACATTAATCTTTTCTGATTCATCTATTTTCTGATTCATCCATTAACTCATTAATCAATCCTTTCATCCTTTCAATAAGCTATCTATCCCTTCATCTTTTCATTTATTAATAGAGATTAACACAGCTCTCCTTGATATATTTCTAACTATTTTTTATCAACAAAAAAGAAAAATATCTTTTTTAATATATCTCATTGATTCCTTATTTCGTAGAGAAACGTACTTCATTTTTTAATCTATTGTCAAGTGAACAATACGCTCTCAATATAATTTTTTTCAAGTAGTTGTTGATATTTGAGATATATCTTTTTATTAAAAATTAAGAGTACAAACGACAACAAAAAATAAGACGATAATTTCTCCACTTTTCTCTAAAAACATGCTACTTTGCATACATAGAAATAACGATTTACCTATTGTTAATCATTTATGGTACCTTTATATTTGATTTAAGATTGAGTTTAATTGATTAAAGGGCTATATACGTTGTTCAAGTGACTAACCATTTATACAGAGGTATGGCCTCTTGACCCAATATAGGGGACCTGAGCTAGTGAGCTAGTAAGTAATGTCAGATTTACAACGTGGTACCCTCAAAAGCTAATTAAGAGAAACCCATGGTTTTCTTTTTGAAAATTTTTGGCTTCTTAAAAGAACATTCCAGAGTTTTCCTAAAAAAACAATATAAGAAATTATCTGACTCAACACTTCTCAAGCTAGAAAAACGAAGATATCTTTCAAATCTTTCGACAAATTTTCGTAAAATAAAAAATATTCGAGAAAAGCAACATATTTTGTATTACCTTGCTGCTTGTTTCTATCCCCTTCATGGTTTCCAGGAGACAGATTTCTTAACATTTAAACATTTACTTTTTAGAAGAAGAAATTTAGAGATTATAATTAGATATTTAAATTAGAAATTCAGTGAAGATAATGATAATGATGATGAAAAAAATGATAAAGATAAATATATTTAAGATAAATATATCTAAGATAAATATATTTAAGATAATGATATTTAAGATAATGATATTTAAGATAATGATAATAATAATAATAATAATAATAATAATAATAATAAATAATTACCTGGTTAAAGCCTCTGTTTTCTGAATATTAAATGAAATCTCCTGTTGTAGAATCTGTCTCTTAAGGTTTTCTGTCTCAAGTCTACTCTTCTGTAGTTCCTTGGTAGTCTCACCCTAACAAATAATCTTTAAGATCTGCTGCAGATGTAATTTCTCTAATTCTCTTTACAGATAGAGTATTTAGAAAGCTCATAAAAAAAGTTTTTAAATCCGGTTTTTACATTTTTAATATTTTAATCAAGCTTTAGACAAAAAAAAATAAATGAGATTGTTTGGCAAAAATTGCAACAAGTAAAGAAAGTTAAAGGTTTTATTTTGAATTTTAACCTTTCCCTTGTTAAAATATATCACCCAAAAATAGATAAAAAATTAGTAGACACCCTTAGTATAGAAATCACGATTATTTTATTCCAACTAAAGATAATTTGTGTACCTCAAATAAAACTATTTATATTAAGTTTTCAATTTTCTTTATTCAATTATTTTATTCCAACTACAGATAAATTGTTTACCTCAATTATAACATTTTATATTAAGTTTTCAATTTTGCCTTTCAATTATTTTATTCCAACTACAGATAATTGTGTACCTCGATTAAAACTTTTTAATCTTATGTTTTCAAAATCAATTTTCAATTATTTCATTCCAACTACAGATAAATTGTGTACCTCAATTAAAACTATTTATATTAAGTTTTCAATCTTCCTTATTCAATTATTTTATTCCAACTACAGATAAACTGTGTACCTTAATTAAAACTTTTTATCTGAAGTTTTCGATTTTCCTTTTTCAATTATTTTATTCCAACTACAGATAATTGTGTACCTCGATTAAAACTTTTTTAACTTAAGTTTCCAATTTTCTTTATTCAATTATTTTATTCCAACTACAGATAAATTGTGTACCTCAATTAAAACTTTTTATCTTTAGTTTTCAATTTTCCTTTTTTAATTATTTTACTACAAACTAATAGGTATTTACAGTGACCCTCCATGTAAAGATGAAAAGCCCGATTCCCAACAATGCACTTAAAAGCTCATTATATATTGTGGTTTCTCTACAAAAACTACAATAGCTTCCACATTATTTATCAGATTATGGTTTCAAGGGTACCATTGTGAATCGGGCATTGTCATCTTCGCGTGAAGGGTCATTTGAAATTATTCTTACAGTCCCTTAGATCTAAATCATTCTGAGGATTAACAAACATTTTCCTTATATTCTATTTTCTATCTATCCCTGTCGACAATATTTCTTATATATTTAGGAATATTATTCATTAAGTATTTTCTCCTCAAATTTTTAAAATACAGCTTTTTTCTTTTTCTTTTTCAATTTAAAAATTCTGTTACCCAGGGGGACCCTGCTAAAAAAGCCCTAAGCTATTAAGTACGCCCGCTACGGATCTGATTTTTTTTTCTCTTTAAAAGCGTACATTTTATGTATTTTACTTGTAATTTTAAATTGCAAAATTGTATTCGCAGAGATAAATGATTTGATTTGATCTGGTTTGAATATCCCTCTCAAATATATTAGAATCTTTTTATAAATACAAGGAATTTATAGTGATAGCATAGTGTCTACAGTGTTCTAACTACGGTAGTCGACAGTAGTCTACAGTAGTCAACAGTAGTCTACAGTAGTCTACAGAAGCCTAGAGTAGTCTACAGTAGTCTACAGTAGTCTACAGAAGTCTAGAGTAGTCTACAGTAGTCAACAGTAGTCTACAGAAGTTTACAGTAGTTTACAGTAGTATACAGTAGTCTACAGCAGTCTACAGTAGTTTACAGTAGTCTACAGCAGTCTACAGTAGTCTACGGTAGTCTACAGTAGTCTACAGTAGTCTACATTAGTCTACAGTAGTCAACAGTAGTTTACAGTAGTCTACATTAGTTCACAGTAGTCTACAATAGTCTACAGAAGTCTAGAGTAGTCTACGGTAGTCTACAATGGAGTCCAAACAGCACGGGTGAGTCAAAACAAATATGTCTACCTTGATATTTGCTAAATCCTCTAATTTCTTCCTTGTAGCGGTCAGCTCGTTAGTCAGATTATTCTTCTCCTCTAGAGCATGCATTCTCTCCTTCAGGTGAACCTAAACCTTCTACAGTTAGCATTGTTTATCATATATAGAACTAGCGTTGCCCAGGTTACTCATTATTACTCCCGCCGTTTACCCGTGCTTGGTCTTAAATCATGATGTCAGCTGTGCACGGCGTTGCCCGTTAAAACTTTAAAATTTCATATTTTGTTTAGTGTATGTCTTAACCATCGGTTCCCTAAAAAACCAGACGATTTGGTTACCCGTTTAGCTAGCCTAACTGTAGCTTCCATTCAAATTAGATCTGTATATAGATTTGGCTAGTCTGTTTGTTTGCTTGCAACTAATCAATTTCAATACGGCTGAGCCGATCAGGCCCAATTTGGTAACTTGCACGATCACGTCTTAAAAAAAGAAAAAATTTCCACTCATTTTTTATATTTAAAATTCCAGAAATAATCAGAGGTAAGCATCATTTCAAAGTTTAAATGATTACAAAACAGAGGGGTGCTCAAACCATGGAAATACACACTATACAGTGTATTCAAGGACTGTTATTACTTTCTAATTTTTTTGCTTCGGATAACTTTGAAGCTTTTCATCTGCAGGACATGTGTCCGAAAACTAGATTTTAAATCTAAATGATATTAAAATAGTTTGTTAACACACAATTTGTTTGTTTTTATTAAACCCAGTCCTTTGATATCATGAAAACAGAGAAAACTTTATCAAATTCCCTTTCTTCCTTTGAAGTTCTAAAAATTTAATTTGTGATTTACAAAAGTAAAAAATTATCGCTTTATCGAATAAAAATATAAATTATAGGCGTAACTTAAATATTTTGTAATAGGGGGTGGGGGACTTTTTTAAGATGTAATTCTATAAATGCATTTCTCTATGCACGAGAACGAACAGAATGGTATGTATAAACTTTAATATTTTGTATTAAAAAGCTCATTAAGGCACAAAATGGTCGTGTTATACGGTTATTTAACTGGTATCAATCGATTGGAAATGTTAAATTGGTTTTAAACGGTTATTTAACTGGTATCAATCGATTGGAAATGTTAAATTGGTTTTAAAATTTTTGAAAAAAATAATGAATTTAAGAAAAAAATTTTACGAAGTTGTTTTTAAAAGACAAGTGGAAACGTGTAGTGTGTTTAAAAGACAAGTGGAAACGTGTAGTGTTTTTAAAAGACAAGTGGAAACGTGTAGTGTGTTTAAAAGACAAGTGGAAACGTGTAGTGTGTTTAAAAGACAAGTGGAAACGTGTAGTGTGTTTAAAAGACAAGTGGAAACGTGTAGTGTGTTTAAGTTTGTTTATATTTAATGAGCCGCAAAATTTGATATTTTTTAAAATAAGCAGTGACGACGTCATACGAGGATTTAGAGTAAGCATTGCTATAAAGGTCCTCTTTACCTACATTGGAGTGCATCAGGAGAATCTAACCCTTATTATACAACCTTGGACTAACCTGTAACCTCTCGTTACTCTCGGTAAGAAGTTTGTCTACGGTAGCGGACAGACGTTGGTTGTGTTCCTCATTCATTTTCAGTCTCTGGGACAACCTGAACCAGATAAACACCAGAGTTAAAAATAATTCTCAGTTTTTTTAGAATTGCAGCCCGGGGGGATAGCGTTGAAATTTTATGAATGAATGGCAAACGAACTTAATCTTAAAACTAAAACATCTCCATATGAGAAGGGGAGGCGGGGTGGTGGTCCTAAGTTCTCATATTAATTTCAGTTTTATCTGCAATCACACTTAACATAAATACTTTTGCCATAATAGAAAAAATGTTATTTTTCTTAAACTGCAAATATTATAACATTCTGCTATGGAAAGCGCATTCTTGCCAAATTCATCCTGTTACACTTGCCATAAGTATCACATGCCATAATTACTTTTGACATAACTTTATTATTTTTACAAAGCATAAATCTAACTTATTTATGGCAAGTGTAATAATGGCAAGTGTGGTTATGGCGAAAGTACTTTAAGAAGTGTAACTTATGATAAGTGTAACTTTTGAAAAACATATCATGACAAGAGTATAAATGGCAACCATATTATGTCCAATGAAACTGAGCCAATAATTCAAAGCCGATTCTAAGAATACGTCGAGCTGAAAAGGTTTGAATCAAGCCGTGGCTTAAAATTTACAAATGGTCTGAAAATTGACAGTTGTTGTTTTTAACCAACTAAAGTATTAAATAGCTTTAAGGAAGAAGTTAAACCAGCCATACATACTTGAACTACATCTAACTCATTCATAAGTTTTCATCTCGGAATTCATTATATTAAATATTGATTCTGTCAGTTAATGTTATTTCTTCAATAAAATGTTATGAAAGGCAATCCACATCAACGTGCCTAAACCAGTTGCAAATGACACTTTAATCATAAATTGTAGGAAAAGGGAGAAACGTGACATCTTCAGACTTTCTAAATTGACATAAATAAAAATTACTTTATGTTCAGTGAATCCAAGATATATGAATACATAACAAGAGCTTTTTATAATATCGTATTACATATTGAAGATCAAATGCCGCGGAAAAATGAGCTTAATATTAATACATTAATTGCATTCAAATGTCAGGGCTATATTAAACTAATTTTTCTGCGGCATTTGATCTTAAATATGTAATACAACATTATAAAAAGCTCCTACTAGGTATTCATAATATCTTTGAATCACTGTAGAAGATTTTAGATAAAAAATCTTAAAAACATGAAAAATGAATCCGTTGAATCCCACATAAAAAATGTATCTTTTTAACCAGTTCTGTTCATCGGATTAAAGGGGCCGTCGTAATGATTTCAAAAACCATCCTCCATTAAAAGAGGGCATGTTCAAACTACAAAGGCTACCCTTTTAACCCTTTATCTTATAATAATGTGGAAGATATGTTATGTTTTCTAGCTTGGGAGGTGTTTGATTTAGATGATTCCCTCCCATTGTTTCTGCAGGAAAATTGCTGAAGTCACTTTTGAACAGAAACCAATATCGAAAATATTGAATTTCTAAACAATAAGCATACACAACTCATTTATTTTTGATGAGACAAAGTTTTAAGGGTATCGTTGCCAATCGTACATGCCAGTTTATAAATGGAGAGTCACCGGAAATTACAACTACACCCCCTTTATTTTGGATAAATTATATTTTTGATGTTTCTAATACGCACTTTCCAGTTCTCTTATCTCAATAGTTTAAGAGGAAAATGTTCTTTCACTAAAAAATACGTATCTAGAGGTTCTAAAAGTCATCCCATCAGGCACCATGCGTGGTCAATTTTTTTTTATATCTTCAAAATATTTAAAACGCCATCATCATCATCATCTCATAATTTTTTATTATTCTCATTATTAGTATTCTATTTCAGGATTCATATCTAGTCAGATTTAGTGGAAAAAACATGTGCTTGAAACTGAACAATAACCAAGGCAATAAAATCGTTCCAAAACAGAAATTAACAATTATGAATTTTAATTACACTCCCTCTAAATTCCTGTACAGTAACAATACCTTCATTTTCCTGTTGTAACTTGTGCATCTTTTTATTTCTCTCACAATGTATTTTCGAAAAGAATTCCATGGATTATTTTAGATTTAAAAAGGTGACTCCGACCCTATTTACAGTTTCATCCCCGATTAACAAAGTATCGGATCCTTAAAACCTTTGTAAGATCAAAAACGAATGATATATCCATCTTTTTTCTTTTGAAAATATTTATTTTTCAGTTGTGGTGTCGCTGTAAATGACCAGCGCATTTCTGCCAGAAAAATCATGGAGGCCGGATATAGTCGGAAACAAAGCTCGACAGCCGAAACTATCTCAAATAAATTGATTTGTCTTATTAAACCGTACGGTCCTACCTGGAGAGCTCAGATGTTTTCTCTTCCAAGGAATTCTCCAGAAGGCTAACATGCTCCTCTGCAGATCCCTGCCGTTCCTGCAGCAATCAATCAATCAAAAAATCAATCAACGCAGTATTCAATCAATCAATCGCCAAATAAACCAACCAATCAATTAATCAATATATCACTAAATAAATTAACCAATCAATCAATCAGCTGATTAACCAGCCAATCATTAAGAAATGTAAGCACACTAAACAGGCAAGGTTCTGCTTGGTGGGACCTTACTAAATTCAGAAAGAAGTAACTTAAACCGTCGGACACAAAGGAAGGGTTTAAGTTTTTGTCTGAAAGGATTAAAGTTTAAAAAATTCCAACCTCAGCGTTGCTAGGATCCTGTATTACAACCCCAGATCCAAAGACCTTTCAGAGACTTTAAGGGGGTTATTTTTCAGAAATGTTTTTTGACGATTTGGGAGAAAAAATGAAAACTTGGACATCAAAAGGCAACTTTATCGAACTTATTAATACTCTTTACACAAAATTCAATGATTTTCCGATAAAAATCATTTATTTTTCTCAATTCAGCAAATACCACCAACTAAAATTTCAAAAGGGGGTGGGGGGGGGGGAAAAAAAATTGTTTTTCGAGAAAATTTACAGCCCTGAAGACTTTCACATTTCATTACTATTAGGCAAACGAGCTGATTTCTTAAATACCTGAGCAGCTGCTAGAGCTTCCATTCTATCCTTGAGCTGCTCCTCAATATCTGGCATGGAAGCGTACTCTATTAGCTTCTGTTCTGCGATATCAAGCTTCTCGTTGATTGCTTTTATCTTCTCCTGGTAGAGACAAATTTGTTCCTCCTAGAAATATGATTATTGAATCTTTGATATATGTTAATATTCATAAATATTGAATCCAGTGTCCGAATTTAATGAATTTGAGCCGCGGCTTAAATCTGCAAAAACTGGTTTCAATTGAGCGCCGTCTTAATTCTTGAAAAAATTATTACAATTTTAAGTGGAACCAATGATATTTGAGCCACGGCTTAAACTTAAGCCGCGGCTCAAATTCTTTATATTCGGCCTCAGAATAAATGTTAATCATTATAATCTCTTGTTCTAACCTACCTTGTTCTTAATCTCCTGTTCTAGCCTAGCGTTGATATCATGAAGCTGAGTTGCTTCCCTCTGACTGTTTAGATATCTCTTCTCTAAGGTTGCAATTCTCTCTTCCTGGTCTTCTTTCTGAGCCATTGTCTCCTAGAAATCAATCAATCAATCTATCAACTAACTCTGTCAATCAATCGATCAACAAACTAACCAACCAACAGATTGATCAACCAACCAACCAACCAACCAATTGATAAATATAACTAATGATATCTAAAGTTTAAAAATAAACTAATGAATTAAAACTAAATTAATTATCCTGTTTACCTTGAACTCATGCTGTAGAGCCTGATTGAGGTCCTGTGCTCCGTGGAGCTCCTTGTTGTTCCCGATCAGTTTGTCCTCGAGGTCGGTCACCTTCCCCCTCAACTCTCCGACCAACCTCGTTGCGTTCCCAAGGTCGTTACTCTGCTTCTCTAGCTGCTTTCTTAACTCAAGGACCTAAAAACAAATACAAATCTGTCCAATATTCAACTTTTTCCTTTAAACTATCAATCATTTGTCGAAAAAAAATCTTTTTATTTTTTAAGTTGCTTACTCACAAGTTAATTACAAGTAAATTATAAAAATTACCATTCGTTGTTAAAATGAAAACCAGTTTGTACTTTGTAGTGATGCATATTGCATATTTAAAATTACATATAATGTATTTCTTACATTTTGCATCTTGTGAGATGAAGAAAAATGTATTAAAGGGAGGTCCAAAGAACGTCCTAAGAAGGTGGGGGGGGGGTTGTCACTGTCATTATTATGAATATTCAACCTACAGCTTTTATCTTCCTTAGAGTTTAGAAAGAAAACGTATGGGTGAGAGCAGTGGATCCATGGGATTGACTAAGGGGGATAATATGATATTGGGGGAATTCTTTGCAAGACTCAAATCCATCTTACAGCAATCCCAAAGTGTTCTTTGATACATTTTAATCATATAAAATAATAAAATTCTAGCCTTGAAGCAAACAATTTGTTAAAAATCTAAAAACGGACACATGGACAATACATGATTCAGAAGTTCGAAATGCATCTTTTGAAACAAAAATAAACATGTTTTAAATTTTTTAAACTTGCCTCACTAATGACCTATGTTTTTTTTTTGATTGATTGAGTTGAATTTTTACCAATATTTCGATGAAAAAGTTTCACCCTTATTCTAAAAAATCTGTTTACCTCCGGGTCCAGAGTTCCATTAATTTTCTTCTCTCCGTCTTCTCCTTTCCTCTCCTCATATCCTTCCTTTGCTTTCTTCTCCTCCTCCTCAATAAACCCTAGTCTCTGTCGGCTTAATTCTTCCCTGCAATTATTTCAACTTAAATTAGTCCTATGATAAAAAACATGATGTTCACGAAAATTGCTAAATTCTAATGTTGTTTTAGACACCCTGTCCCATACTTAGCTTTACTTATACATCCCATATTTCCATAGAAAGATTTTTGAACGGCCAACATGTTTGAAATCCAAAAATTTGTTTAAAAAAGGTAAGTAAAACCATAAATCATAAAAATCTACGAAATCCTAAATTGCAATTTCTGAATATTGTACACAGGGAAAAAGTTTGCAGATATTAGAAACAATAAATTGTAAAAAAGAGGAATACTCAGTATCGTTGAAGACAAATTATTATGTACTTTCAATGCATGTTTAATGCATGAAAATCTAATTAATTCAAGTAACCTAAATATATAAAGTTGTAATCTCTACTTGTCTGTTTGTTTGTTTTATGTCTGATCATAACTCATGAACCCTTTGACCGATTTGTCTCAAATTTTGATTGGGGAACTCGGGAGAACCTTCATAATGTTCTTAGCATGGTTTTGAGATTCTTAATTAGGTTGCAATACTTTTATAGGGAAAAATAGCTAAAATCGTAATTTACGACTAAGCGCGGGTAAACGGCGGAATTAACAATGAGTACCCCGGAGAACCATCACTGACCTTACTGAACTACACTCCTCCTCCAAAGTAGCATTTTTCTCCAGAGCTACACGCAATCTCTCACGCACCTTCTCATCTGAACAAAAAAATACATCGTACAAAAAAACCTTCCGTTTGTACATAAACAGTTTACTGGCTCTTTTTTTAGTTCAGCTTTTTGGATTTTACCCCTAAAGAGGTGTAGAAGGAGACATTGGTTAGCAGCTTCTTGTTATTCTGCTGTTAGAAAAATAAGGCAGATTTAATGCATATACGTATGAATAATGTAAAAGACGGTTTCTTTTTTTTCATGGCATGTCAATTTTCATCGATCTAATTCTTTTCGCAATTGTAAATGAACATTCATTTAATTAAAAATGTGTTAGAAATGTTTATTCTTTTACTGATGACGGATATCACACAGGACTATGAAGAAAAAATTTGGTAACTTTCAGATCAAAAACATTCAAATCATCGCTTCTAATAATTTAGCTGCTAAAATAATTATGGCAAACACGAAATCTTGTTTAAATGACAATGGGAGGGCAATTATTAGAGGTATAATTCTAGGAACTTTCGATGATCTGAATAAAATGAAAACAAAAACATGAACTGGCAACAGATATATCTCTTTGATACTTTTAACCAATATTCAATTTATTTTTCCCCCAAAAAAACATTTTTTTTGGCGGGGGGTGTAGGGTGTGATTTTTAAGAAAATGTTTAGTGTGCACTCTTGTAATTCACAGATTGTATCCCGGTTTAGAAAGACATTTTTAAGAACGCCCTCTTTTAAAACTCTTTCTTAGATAAATGTTAATTCCTTACCTAAAGCTTTGTGGTGTTCAAAGAGAGATTTCAATGCTTTAAGAACTTCCACTTCACTTGATACGCCAGATTGGGACGCAGTCTGACGTTTAACGACTGTCATTCTACAGAAACCAGACAAATACCATTAAAAATGTTTTATAAAAAAACGATACGGAAACAGAAAGTGACGAACGCCGGGATTACAGCTTTACAGGTTACGAACATTTCTCTGATTTGACGTATTCAACAGATAATTTAGTGTTATTGTTAAACATCCCTTTGTTCAAATACTATTCATTGTGATAAAAGTAAAAATACTCAAGATACTAATTGGGATTGTTTTAGACGAAGCAAAATAATATACTTAGCCAATGTCAAGATTAAAAATATAAAAGATACTTCAGGGAATGTTTTTCATCAACCATTACGATGTAATATAAATTCATTTTTGTATTCATGGTAAATTTTGCTCATTTAATTAAAAATTAAAACATCTGCTTCAGCCCCCATTAACGGCTCATCCCATTTTATAAAAATTGACCAAGGCATGGAATGCTTTGATTGTTTACCAGATCAAAATATAAATAGTCTTGACCAGAAAAATAAGCGTAAGTTTATCCAAATATAAATCATATTTTCTGAAACGGTTCAGATATTGATTGAAATTAATTAGTTTTGAATTTTTATAAAACGTGACAGAATGTAGGTTAATTAAAACACTGTTTAGTCCTTTCTACATGAAAGGTTAAGTCTGGTTCCTAAGGGATCGTTCATGTCTAGAAACTAAGCACTCCAGGTGTTCCAGGAGTAATCTGGTATTATTCCTTTCAGCCTGATCAGAACACAATTTTCAAATATTTGCTGAACATATTTCTTTCTTATGTCTAGAAAAATCTTCTTCTTCTTAATATTTTATTTCTTATTATTTAAGATAACAACTGAAAACTTTAGAATTGGAGACCTTTAATCCCAATCGCTCAATCTGAATATCCCATGTGAACATTTTTAATTGCTGCATTGGTTTCTCCAAACCCCACTCAATTGGTGTAGTTATATAATGTTTATATTGTTAATACAAACTTAAATTAAATTGATTTCGATATCCACAATTCATTAGTTTTCAACTCTGGCTGATTCCCCCCCCCCCCCTCAGCAGACGCTACATCTGAAATTGTTCCTTAAGTTCTGATATTTCTTCATCCTTCTCTAAGACTAGCTCCCTAGCCTGGTTCAACTCCTTGGTTAAACTTGCAAACTCCTGTCACAATATTCTCCGTCACAGATTTGAAGATTTAACATTTTCTTGGGTGAAATTTGATTATTTAATAACGTTGTTTCTCTATGAAGTAAAATTGCGGATTTATGAACCAGAGAAAAAAAGAAGGAAAGTGGTAGAATTCGACGCGATTTTAGATGGCGAACGACAAAATGTTTGTCATTGTTACACAGAGATAAAAGCTTAACGGATACCGTTGCGGCCTGGGCACGGTATGCCATTCATTTAATGGAGGGNAAAGGACTATAAAATTATGAAATATGTTGCGCTTCGCCGAATATTGTGGGGTTCAAATTTTAATCGTTTATTATTAATTAGTTTCAATATAACATATCAACGGAGTGTCCTATATCATATTGGATTATCTCCAAGCTTTAAAGCCAAAATACGCACATACTACTCGAAAACCTGGTATTTTCTGCATGCTAATTTTTATATTAGCATTGAACAGTTTTTTAAATTTTCTGATTTGTCCCGAAAATCGAAATTTTAAGTTATAAACGATCTAATATTAAAATAAACACCCTGTATAATAATGTGGTGAATATGATATTTATGATTTATATAATCTGTGTCGAATATCCCTGTGGTAAATTCTGATTAAGTTGTCGGTTTAATGAATCTCTCTCCTTCTCCAACTCCTTCACACGGATCTCGTAGTCGCTCGTCTTCTCCTGCTCGTTCTTTAACGAGTCCACCAGCTTGTCGCGCTCGTCGAGCATAGAGACCATCAGCTGCTCGAAGTTTGCGTCGTCGCCGAATTGCGACGAGCGCTGGGAAATTGAGTCCTCCGAGATCGTCGGCATCACGTCACACATCATGTTCCACATGATTAGGCCTATATAATGAACCCCGGAGGATTCACACACTTAAATTAAAAATTAAATTTTTTCACACTTAACCCACTGGAGGGGATATTCACGTTTTAAACATCACATTTTATAAATAATGTTTCCATAGTTGTTTTGGTTTCATTTCATAGCTAATTAGCTAATTCCCTTCTTACTTCTGAAATATTTTTAAAAGATAAATATTAATTTATTTGATTTCTAATTTTATTTAATGTTATAAATATTTAGACCGGACTATGTGAAAAAAAATACAAAATTCAGGGGTAAAAATCATTTTTAAAAATGTAGCGTAAATTTCACAAGCAAATGGTTGTAATGATTTAATTTGAAAACATATTGTTTTTTATTTAAAAACAATATATCTGCCATCTTTATCTAGTTTTATGACGTCAGCCAAGCGGTTTGTTTACTGCGCAGACTCCTCGATTCAGGGAATATACTTGCAGACATTACTCTCTTTATTGAGGAATATATGTACCTCAGGAGGCATGGGCCGGAGGGAGACTTTCTGGGGAGGGCGTCGCGGACTTGAATTTTCCCGAATGCCGCGTGTCATTACTATAATTCCAAGAGAGAGACAGAGGGGGGTTGAATTTTGTAGATCCGCAGTAAATAATTTTAGTCGAATGGCTGCGTAGAGTCTGACAGCTTGTGGAGTAGGGAGAGGGGGAGGAGCTTTGATACGAGTGTGAGTTTTTAATCTTTTTTATGGCTAAAATAGGTACGATTTTCACTTTTTAAGTTTTAGTTAATATTTCTTCAACTTTTTTACAATAACAGTGGGTGGGGGGGGGGGACGGGGACCATATCAGCTTTGATACGAGTGTGAGTTTTTATCATTTTTAGGGCTAAAA